CATGAATACAAATCCATGGTGTCTTGAGTGATAACGGCAACTTTCCACGACTTCGAGTGATCAGTCTGACACAAGTTGACCGTTTGTCCATCGCATACAAAGCCATTTGCTATGTTGTAAACAAAAAGATTATTCAGGGAAAACTTCATCCCGCCATAAGATACGAGAAGTAGAATCTACCCAAGTAGGAGGTGTAACATATCTGAGATCTAGTCCTATGTGAATTGCCGGATAGATTCCAAAATATGTCCCACACTTTTCCGTAGACCCATCTATTGTCTTCTCATAAAATATCATGCCACAACTCCCTACTATTACCACCCAATTCCGGAAAAAACAGCTTTGTGTATTTTTCACATCTCTCAGTTTGCTTGCCTAAGTAGTCGTGCTAACTTTACCCAGTCCCTCTCCGTCATGACCAAAGTCGAGTAGACAGTGAAAATAACTTACTCTCAACATCAGTGCAATCTGAACATCCTAGGACTCCCTACAGACAAAGAAATAGATGTTTTCTCGTTTAGTTTGCGAAAAAGTGTGCACAATATGTGTATGCGTACTTCTAAATTTACAACTATCCTGCGAGTAGTAAAGAGCATTTCTTAGCTCGCGGGAAATCATGAGGAGGCCCTGAGCTACACACACCGACGAGAAGTCTGCAAGGGTCTAGCACTTAAAATGAGTTAGGGCCAGACTCCCGGCAAACTTCTCTCCGACTTGTTTCAAATCTTTCCGCTGGCGGAGAAACGTGCATCATTCAGCGCTGATCGATAATTGATTATAATTAATTAACATACAACAGTTACAAAATTACAACAGTGGACATGTGTTTCACCGTCAACTGCACTTGTGCACTTAACAAGATTTACCTTTCCGTTTGGTCAGTATCTTTGTACGTGTTTAGTACTATTTTCTGCATTGCAACTTTCCAAAGGTGAGGGAGATTTAAGCCGTCAATGTCTTTTATTCCTGTTTATCCTTTAACCCCTGGTGGGGATCAATACATAAGTTCTTCTCACAGTTTTATAGGTATCTGAGAAGGCGGGCGCTCACATTGGTCGGCTAGCATGATTAGATAAAAGTACGTAAACACTGCTGTTACCCGCCAAATTTCTGTGCAAGCTCAAGTTTCTTGAGTCACCTTTTTCCTAATTGATCTACTTAAAACTGCCATACCAACATGATGAAATACTGACCGAATGGATGAAACATGCCAACCATAAAAACAACAGCGGCAGCAAATGAAGTTTATGGATCATCTCTCCGTCGGCAGAAGTGCAGACTACAATACAACTGGCTTCTATTTGCTTTCAGCCCTACGCGATGAATAAGCAAAAGTTCAACAATCTAATAAATGAGTCAAAGGACTGCAGTGCATGGGGTGATTCTTAGGTCAAAATCTCCGAGAACAGTTTCTTTTAAGGAGACAAGGCCTTTAAAAAAGGTATCTGGGACTTGAGAAGTGAGACAGCTAGAGGCGAGATCGTGAGAACGTTCTTAAACACGCAGTTGGGGTCATTAGATATCTTAATTGGCATCTTCCTGAATAGATTATGTATGAACTCAAGGGTTCACTCCATTGCTATAAATGTATTTCGTCCTTGTTGAAGTCTACAACCATAGTGCTTGTGCCAAATAACAAATTGTTATTCCTCGTCTGTTATTTATAAAGCAGAAACCATTGGAAAAGATGCGCAAAACACTTCTCGACTCGGCTATTTATCTTAAAAATCTGCCAACGATGAATGTCTCGCTTGAAAGGAAACATGAACAAACTGTTGATTAAAAAATTGTAGACCCCATTCGCAACATTAAGCATCCAATAATATTGATAAGTGGGTCTTAAGAATTATTCTACCCACTGAGAATTATGACATAATCGATCCTTAAACATTGCTTTCGACTTGTATTTTTGAATAGTGACTGCAGGAGAGCGCTAAGAAATAAACTTAGAGCTGTGCAAAGTTTCGTCAATCCTGAATTAATTTTTTCCGTGTTCGGGGGCTACATCGATTTAAAAAAAGTTAATTATACTACGTGCCAGAAAGAAATCGCGTCTGAGTAAAAAATCAGATACATTCTTTAGCCTGACTATGATAGACACTTGTACCCATACGCTTTCTTGCAATAGAGATGTGTCACCTACCTAGTTACGAAGAAATATTATTCTTGACTCTGAGGTTAAACAGATTCGTCTCAGCACATGCAGAACCCTGCAAGTGCAAAATAATAATAATGAAAAAAACAGGACTTGTCAAGTTATGTAATGTTGGATCTGTGATTTGATTGGCTTAAAGCTTGTGACTGATGGCGAATTTTTGCCATACTCTGTGATCTTATTGGTTAGGACGGTTTAGATTGACATTCGGCCTATAGAACAAGGTGCGTCAAACAGTTGCCAATTCAAGTCAAATTTAGATTTTCCGCATATTCTCTGTGTACCTTTATAAGCTGTTCTAACCGAAAATTGCCTAAGGAATGAAAACACTCACGTAAAACGGAAAAAGTGTTATGGGTGAGTGATGCGTTGACCCCTCCACTTAGAAGAATGGCTTTTTTTTTTTGGTAATCAAAACTGAACAAATAGTAAATACAACTGAAGCATTTATGCATTAAATCCTTAGTTCCTAAAAGAAAAAGATGTTGACATATTGTCTTAAGCGTAATATGTGATAGACGTTTAAAACATCTCTTAATTCGACGCGCGAGCGCAAAATTTACCATCTTTCTTCCAAATTTTTTCTCTATATCCGACGCTTTCGACCGCGTCACGTAAAAAAGGCCAAGCAAATTGTCGTGTACTCCGCAGCTAGCTTGGTAGTAGTGCATCAGAGTGCGAGATCCTAACATTTGAAGTTCGGATTCGCCTGGTAACTTACACGCATAGAGTCTCTGTAGCTTAATGGAAGAGCATCGGAGCCCGATAATCGAAGATCTGTCAGAGGTTCGATTCCTCATAGGAATGAGTTTAAAGACGAAAAAAAATTTCTCTGTTTTACTCCTTGTCTCACGATCATGACAAATAATTGTTAAAATCTCTCTTTATTTGATGACCAGACGGACGAGAAATTAGGCTGTATCCTCTTTCCTCTTTTTGTGTTATAGCATTTGAAGGAGTAAAACCGAACTGATTGAATCCTGAATAACGAAGTGGTTTATCACTAAAATGTGGACTGCACGCACAAAGAGCACTTGGGTATCATTAAAAGTCCACCCTAATTTGTACGGGTTCCGAAGAGAGTAGATTGTTGTCAAATTGGCTGAAACTGCCTTCTTTGCTTCTAAATTTAGATGATCTTTGACTTTTTTAAGATCGGGTGTGCGATTATTGAAATGATAAATTATTTTATTTAAATTTTAAACTCATCTATTTTGCATTCGTTAGCATTTTTCAATATATCCATAATATTTCAGCTGGAAAGCCTTCTTCAAGAAGCGCTATAAATCATGTATACGGTGTTTTTTCTACCTGACTTTACATAAATGGGACTGGAGTAGAAATAAGTTCTCTAAAAAGTTGTGTTTGCATTTACAAATATTGAGTCATTACAACCTAAACGCAATTTTCGATCATGTTGACACTAAAAGCAAACACTGTCTTTGTGTTTACAGCCGGCTGCCTTGAAACAACTGTTGATATTTTTTAAGACAAAAATTCCCTCACGCTAATGTGCTAGCAAACATTTATCATTTATTTTAAAATTCTAGGAATCGTTTGATCATTCGATCTACTTTAAATATTTGTGCATGAATCACCGAGAAAGATATGCCAACGCAATAATCACATGGAATGAATCTCAAACAGGGAACGGAATTGCGTAAACCAACATGTATACCAAGGACGGATGAGGAAAAATGGTTTACGCACTCTTGATCGCGAAAAAGAGTTTGTGATCTAGCATTCAAATATAAAAGCTAATGGTCATTATTAAATTTTCAACTCCGGATATTACATTTCTGGTGTTCTGACTGGTTCACTCAATTCCGGTTATTAGCTCATAATCCGGGTCACCTTATACGGAAATACATTGCGCTAATTGTTGAGAAGAGCAAAAAAAGGCTCTAATTATCCAAACATTAAGGATTTAACGAAATTTAATGAAACAATTATTCCATTCGCACTTGTTGGACACGAGATTGTTGAAAGTTAACTTGGCTCTATGTCCCTTGTTGGCTATTTATCATCTCATATCCAACGCGCGGTCATGAAATAATTGTTAAATATTTCATGACGAATTTATTTTATTTGAGGATAATTTAATGCGATTGGTTTTCAGAAATATTCCGTGTCGTGTAACCTTAAACAAAGCAATATTTTTTGTATAGTTTTAAACTTTCCTCACAATTAACTTTTAATTTGAACTATTGATGCTTTTTTCCCAATCATTCACGCTACAACGCCCGAAACTGCTCCTAAAATCGACCGTATGTGACGCTTTATACACTACCGTTTTCAAAAGCCTCTGTTTTTAACCTGTTAACACAAAGAATGAGGCCTTTTCAGAATGATGCGTTTTGAAAGATTCTATGCATTGGAAATAACCTCTACAGTCTCACACAGACAGTAAGCGATGGCGCAAAAAGCCGTATGGCCCTGTGTGCGGTCTCGCTCGAAAAAAATGCGATGTGCTGGGTCGAAAGAGAAAGAGTGGCCATATGAAAATATCTTTATTGACCGGGTTGGTTCAAGAGGTAGGGAAAAATATTTGGCTCTCTCTCGTGACGCACAGTCTTCGAATCAATTATTTTCTCGACCGGCCCCGGTACCTACTGAAGTAGAGAGGCCCATAGAACTACAGAAGTGTTTTTTAAAATAATAATCAGAATGGCCAGTGAGCTATGCTATAGTGAACTTTATGCCCGCTGGTAGATCTGCAACAATCATGTTTCTTGGAGGCAAGTCAGTTATTGTTTAACGAATGGGACAGAGTATAGTCCGTTGGTCCATAAAGTCCACTCCTCAATTTTTCTTTTCACGTACATTCCCAGCATCCTTTAGAAGCAGCAATGGCGGACGCTTCTTCACGTGCTAAGTATTATTCCAAGGCTAAAATCTATTAAATTCTCCTCTAGATAATGAAGGCCATGTTAGGCGTGGTAAAATTATTTCTCTGCTTAGTATTTCCGGCATTTGCACTCCAGCAGGAGATCTTAAACCAAGACTGTCCTTTGTATGCCGGAACGACCTTTTTCGTCAACACTTCTGGAGTAAACTCTCCTAATTGTGGGGCTTCATCGAAGCCCTGTTACAGCATATCGTACGCCGTCAATCTAGCGGTTAGAAAGAACGTTAGCTCGCTAACTGTTAATATATCCACGGGAAAATATGAAGAGTTGGAAAGTATTAAACTGGACTGTGGAAGATGGAGCTTACGGAAAGTTACTTTTTGGGGAGAGCGGTTAGTGAACAGAGTAATATGGTTTTGTGTGTGTGTCCAATGGCTTTTTCACGTGACAACTTATCAACCGCTTTGTATTTTGATTTTCTCCAACTTTGCTTATAAAAAATGCTGCAATCTATTTTTTAACTTTTGGTTTCCTCTAAAAGTTTTTTTGTAACTATTTTTAAAATAGGGTTGATGAACAATTGGTCGAAGTTGACTATTCATTAGACGTGCTGCTCTGTGAAGTGAGCTTGATTGATCTTCACTGGCTAAATAGCAGGCCAGTGATTCACCAAGCCTCTATGTCAGATGTGGCGATCTGCCAGTGCACTGTAAAAGGAACAAATATAAGCATCACTGGTAGCTCATCCAACATTATTCTTAAGTACAGCAACATTTCAAGCAGTTCAGGTTACCATCCAAAGTTACCTTTACTATCGATGGCAACTCTTTCAGGATTTCACAACTTCGTGCAGATTTTAAATTGCAACTTTGTGAAGAATGTTGGGCCTGTCCTCACTGTAGAAAACATTTATCAAACATCTATTGTTGACTCATATTTGGAAGGAAACAAAGTACTGGCAGGTGGTTCCATTATTACGGGACATGTTTCACATCTTAAACTCTCTGGAACAAAATTTATCAGAAATGTTGGACATTTGCTGTTTTTAGATGATAATCATTCCTTGGCCAGTTTAGAGGTGAGTATAGAAGTCACAGCAAGCTTTTCAAGTTATTTTAGCTCTGAATTTGGAGCAGTTAACCCTTCACAACCTAAGATGGTTCTCCATACTGTTTTTCTACACATTTCCTATGCTACCTATAAGGAGAATTTGCCCAAAAATCAGGAGCATCTTGAGTTTGTGATCATTTCCTTTATTCTCACAACCTTAATGTTTGATTCAGGGGGGGTTAAAGGAGTGATGAATCAAAAGAAGTCGACACATTGCAATTTGTTTTATAGTATGACTAATAACTTTGTTTTTTTGTTGGTAATGAGGAATGTGATTTCAGCTGTAACATGGTCAATAAGAGTTTGTTTTTGTCACCTGTGCTGTTGCAAAACGTTCATCAAGTGTCCTGTGATGACTGCACTGTGGATGCAGACTGCCCAGGTAATATGTCTGGTTGAAGTTTCAAATTCTGAGGTATTTTTAAGTTTTAGGTTGAAATTACTTAATATATACTGGTAAGTCAAATCTGTGAGTTGTGTACTTAAAACCAATATGCTAGTGGTTGCTATATTGAATACATGTATGTATAGTATGGGCTATTCTTGAGTTCAGGGAACCTTCACTTTCTGATTAAGGTCAGCTGGATAACTTCTTTCTGTAATGGAAGGTTTATCTTGTATCATTTTTATAAACAAGGCTTGTGTTTACTCTTGGCTCCCAGTTCAAAGATCTCCCTTCTTGCTGTCATTCACATTTCCATTTGAACTGGTTAGGGAAATTCAGTGAAATCTCAAGATTACACCCTCTAGCTTGTAAGTTTATGTGTTCTCATCAGCCTGGTCCCAGTTGTTTAAATGTTGGATAACACTATCCTCTGGATAAATTGCTATCTGGTGAATAGTGCAGTACATTTTGTAAACAGTTATCCACTGGATAGCGATTTATCTGTAGGGTTTAAACACATGTGACAAAGCTTGTTGGGAATATGACTAAAGATATTTTTTTCTTGTGTTTCAGTCCTCTGTGGACCAGGGGAGTTTCTGTCAAGTAACATTCTTTGCAGTCCTTGTCCAGTAGGAACTTACAGCTTAGGAACTGCGTCAAACAAAAGCATGCTACAATGCACAAGGTAAACTGTAATAATAAGGTAAACTGTATAATAGGTAGAAGCTGAAGGGAGGTTTCTTGTGAGATAAATGAAAATAGATAGTGGAAGAAAACTCTAAGCATTCATTTCACAATAAATGATTTTGAGTAGATGCAAGTATTAAGGTGCATATGGATGTAGCCTGATCAGTCCAAATTTGTTAATAGAGCCTGGAACTACCATGCAGGACATTAGGGGAGATTTCTTAGAAAGGTGGTTTATCAGAAAAGAGAGAGGGGCTTGTTGGACAGTGGGCTGTTATAGAGGGGGCATGTATGAGAGGGGGCAAATCAGAGAGGGGGCAAATCAGAGAGGGGGCATACTCAAGAGGAGGATTTTCTAACAGAAGGGTGGTGTTTTTTCGACAGTGGGCTTATCATTGAGGGAGCCTTGTTATAATGGAAGAGGGGAGGGCTTGTGGAGACAAGGGCTTCTTAGGGAGGGGATCTTTGACAGGAAAGCTCAAGATGGGGGGGGGGGGGCTGATTTAAGATGAGGACTTTTAAGAGAGGAGTCTTATTTATGAGGGCCAATGAATAGAGAGGGGAGCTTATTACAGAGATGGGCTCATTAAAATGTGAGTGCTCTATATGGATTGTTAACAGACCCTTTGGTGTCTGTTTCCCTTATTAATACTCATCAGAGAAAATTTCACCAAACACATTGAAGTATTAAACTTAATTGCTTGTGATCTTGCAGCTGTCCAGCTGGAACATACAGTTCAAAGACAAGAAGTATGCAGTGCACACGTTGTGCAAAGGGTACCTTTGCATCAAAGACAGGGTTTGTATTATTATTATTATTATTATTATTTTGATTTTTGTTATTATTTCTTTCTTGTTGTGGTTGATAAGATTCCAGTTTTCTAAAAACAGGCACTTGTAAAGATGTTTCTTCCTTGGTTATAAACTCAGAGAACTCAACCTCAGTACACTGTGTAGCATGCGCCATTATTGAGTTTTAAGGATTAAGATTTGTGTAAGGAAGCAATGAAAACATTTCTGCGTGACATTCCTGCAACTGACAGTTTAGTAGACCGTTTCCTATTCCCGAAACCCCTTACTTTTAGATTTAGGTCAAGTGCACATTCCCTCTTGTAAAATTCCGCTTTATTTGTATGAAGATTATGGAATAAATATGCATTATTTCTAGAGATCTTTATAGAGGTGTCTTATGTGCATGCGTTGAAATATGAAAGTTACCTCGTGATACTTTAACCCTTTAACCCCTATAAGTGATTAACATGTAACTTCTTGCTATAACATACACACATTGTCCAACCAACATGTTATAAGAATACTCAAATTTATCAAGTAGCTGATTTAACACCAAATTCTCGTGACTTATTAACAAGAAAATGTATAGCAGTTAGAGGCGAGAATTAACAATCAGATCTTGGGAGTTAAAGGGTCAAGAATGAATAGATATATTGACTTGTTTCAGGTCGTCATCGTGCACCAAGTGTAAGAACGATTTTTTCACCTCAAAACCAGGTCAATCTTCATGTTCTTCAGGTAGGAAGTAATTTGATTTTATTAGTTTCTGGTTTTTCTATTTGGTCTCTCTTGTTTTGTCTCTTAAGGCTAAGTACGACAACTGGGAGAATTAAATATTGTGGCCAATAACACAACACAATGGCCTGATCAAGGCTCGAACCCAAATCTCTCTTCCTGAAGTCCTGCTCGCAGACCATTAGGGCTCTGTGGCCCTCCATAGTAGAACTCAAAAAGTTTTGTCCTCTTGGTTCACAAAATTCCTAATATTTTTGTTCTTTACTTTTTTTTTTCCTATCAGCGAGAATTGGTTTTATCGTGTTCACAGTGTTCGTGTCTCTTCTAATTGCCGGGCCCCTGCTGATTCTGATCTTGCAGAAGCGTTCACGAGAGGAGAAGTGTTCCTTGTGTATTCCGCGCTCGCCGTCAAGGCAGAGATTGCGCGAAGATAAACAACCTAACATCTATGTTGTACAAAATGAATAAGACACCGAGGACATTTATAAGGTTTTACGTATTACGCTCGTAAAATCGTGAAGTATGCTTCTTTTTTTCGCGTCACCGAGGAGAGCCAGTGCTTCTATCCTCAAAACTGTTACCTGCTAAAGTAATCTTTTTTTTTTGCGTAATTATGTCGGAGCAAAAAGACACTTCTTTGCTTTCCGCCCTATAGGAGACTTTCCAAATTAGGAGGCTTTAAGGAACGCGAGATAGCGATAGGTAAACCTCTCCCGACTCGTCTTAAACCTTCCCGCGGGACGAGAACGCCTCCTCGCAGGCTATGAATGTACTCGATTTGCAATCAGTAGGTTCTCCATGAGTGATAAACAAGTGGCACCTGCACTCCACCTAACCGTGACGTGATTATCTATCCCATTAGAAATTTAATAAGCCAAAGTTGTAAAAGAACCCTCGGCATCGAAAAGTTTTGAAGTTTCTTGAAGTTTTATAGCCTATTAGCAACAGTATCTTTACCAACAACGCAGTCACGTTTTTTTTCGAATTTCGAGACAACAAATGCATTTCGTAACGGCAAATAAGTTTTTTGACACCTCGAATAGTCTCAACTTAGCTAGTAAGTATGTAGTGCACAGGGGCGATTTAAGTATGTAAATAATCGTAATTTTTTGTCATCAGTGTTTTGGTATTTTTTTTTGTTTTGTTTTAAGATATTAAGCTAAAGCACATTTTTGTAACGATTTTCTTTCTTCATTTTTATTTTGAGGAAACAGAAATATACCATAACAGTTTCGAAAATTTCACTGTCTTGTCCCATTCTTGCGGCCACTTACTTTTCCAGGCAGAAAAGTTTGAAACTGGACTCTAAATTTCCCACTGTTAGCGGAAGTGTTTCCCGGTGAGCTACTGATAGGTCGTTTCTTACGCGCGTTAAGTTCAGATTAGAAATTGTTTGGTATGAGATTTACCGTTCTCATGCCAAACTGTGGGTATAGGTAACTTCTATCTCCAACAACTGAGCAAAAACAGAAGTTCCCAACAGGCATGGATGCGTCGAAAGAGAAGGATTCCAAGCCCTTTGCCGCCAGTGCAAAAATCAACGTGCGATGAGTCGAACGCATGGATCCGTCATTGTGGTGAATTGATCTCGCAATGTATTTATTTCTGTAACAATAGGCCAGAGACAATCGATTCATTCTCTAAATCTCCTGGATCGTCTTTTTTCTAAGGGCGGACAACGTTATTTAACTAATAAATAGCTATCCAGCAGACGTGCTGGCTATCCACTGGGTACAGATTTCTTCATCGGACGGCAATACTTACCCTTCGAGCGACCGGGGCCTGGAAAAGGAATCATAAGTGAGAAAGAGGCACTCACGATCGTCGAAGAAAGAACAACTTAGATTGAACAAATCGATCAAGGAAAGAGAAAAGGGGAAGTAGACACGAATTCTGAACGACGACCTCTTCGTCTTTACAGACTCGTCCGTAACACGAAATAAACACATCCACAAAATATTGAGTGAAAACTAGTTTATTTTGCAATGGTACGTTCCTCTAAAAAAATTTCTTCAGCTTTCGCACGTTTTAATTTTACGGTCTACACTGTACATTGCCTTCTGTTTTGTGTTAAAGTTACCTTTGTCTATTAATCCCTCGCGGTTTTGTAAAGGCCCATCAGAACTTTACAGCTTTAGTTATCTTACTGAAAATAAGCTTAAAGGTGCATATCTTATGGCGCAGAATACTTTACTGTTTGGAAACAAGGTTCAACCTCATGAATTCCAACCTGATGATGTGGCTCCTAAGTTCCAGGTGGACTTGATTAATTATTGCATTAGCCAACAAGAGCCACCGGACAGATATCTGTAGGGCTGCATCATGTGTCTGGAGTTTTTGGATCAAACATTACACTCAGTCAACTACGTGCGCGGCAAAGACTCAGTTTCAGAGCTATGCCAATCTCGTTTTGAGTACCGCGATCCATTTGGTCAGCTGCTCGGACGCAAGATTCTGTCGTCGAGCTCGCTTATCCTGTTCTGTGTTTTAGAGAAATTTTCAATTGAGTGCCGAAAGTAATGAAGAATTGTTTTGGGTTTGGCCTTCGCTCTGTGATTGGTCAAAGACAACTCGCGCCAGCTTCTCAACCAATAAATACAAACTAGAAGCAACCTCAACTTAGTCACTCGCGTTCCCGCGCCTCAAGCTGGTTGCCTGTCTTTGCTGAGTTCTGATTGGTTAATGATGTTAACCCTTGCTGTGATTGGTAGTTGTGATTACTTTGATTTTGGTTTACAACATTCAATTGAAAACTGCTCTGTTTAATTCACCAGTCAATCCGCTGGACATGGATAACGAAGGCACTAGAAGCGAGATCGCACATGTGCAAACAGGCCACTTTTTAACACCAAAATACAAAAGTGAAATTATTGAAATAGTCTTACTTAAATACTATAAACGGTAACTACGTTTCAGATCCTTGTAGCAGCTTTGCATGAACCATCCTTTCATTGACAATACAATCCTTGTACTAAAATTTAGGACAAACAACTTACAAATAACTTTCGACGTGGAATGTTGATCATTATTGATAAAATACAATATATAAGCAAACGTGTGCATTGAATTCTGCCTGTTATTTACTAGTCATTATAATTGCAACATTGGAATTTTTTTAGTGAAATTTTGGCAAAATATGACGATTCGTATCCCACCCACCCCTCCCGGACGTTTGCACTCCCAAAATTAGTCATTGCAAGTCAACACAGCGGGTAAGCGTAGGGCATGCGCGAGGGGATCAATTCTGGACGTCCGCGCCCTAATTTTTCGCGAAATTTCTATCGAAAAATTATTAAACATTGTTCCGCAAAAGAAGCGAAGGAAAATTGAGACGTTCATAGAAATCTAAAAAAGGAAACAACAGTAGGAAAAAGGACACTTACACAAAGCTTATTCATGTACGGGTATCCTGTTGATTTAATATTTTGTTTTGAGCTTTACCGAAAAAAGTTGCAGACTTTTTTAATACCGTGACGAACTAGCTTGTGTAATTACTTTTAACTCGAGTGAAACAACTTAGTCCTGATAGCCCTAAGGCACGCCACCCAACAACTTTCGCACAAGCACAGACGTTTGACCGCTGTGTTTCGCTGGACAATGATCGAAAAACTTTGAAGAGTTTCAAACGTGGGGATAGTCTTTTTAACGAATAGCAACATGTCAGAAGCCTTTTTTTTACTGACAAATAAAATATTAATTAATGACACGTATCTTATAATTATCTTAAAATGTAACCATGGCTTTTTTCACAGGAAACTTATACTTGTTTGAAGTTTGCGTTCCGTTGGTGACATTGGTGGGAAAAATCTGTTATTGGTCGGCCGCGCTGACTCCCGCGAGGGTTCCCTGTTTTGGCGCGCTTTTAGCTGCTCAGCGTACGCCTCCCATCTTGCGTCATCACTTTCGTGAGTAAGGTAGCGTTCTCCGACAGCCGCTTCCAGACTCCTTAGGTCCAACCAGGTTTGATAGTCCTGGGTACGAGATAGATGAAAAAGTTACTGAATGGGTCACACAAAATGAAGATTGTTTGACTCTGATTTGAAACTGCTGATCGTGAAACCAGCAACTCATACGTCAAATAAGAGCTTGATAATGGGGAATGGATGTTTAAAATTGGAGAAAACAATGACTTACATTCAATAAAAATGAATTTATTATTAACGAAGATTAAAGGAATCGTTTCAAATAACCTCTTTTAAAATACAAAACGTCCTCGGGATACTGTGCATCACATCTCGTCATCTTCTCATAGGGGAGTGGTCATTATTTGCCGCCTTGAGAGGGAGGGGGTGGGTGGTCGGATGTTGGGGGAAGGGAAAGATTTTGGTTGTGTCTATAAAACATTTACCTTATCCCCCCTCCTCACTCCTCCCCCCCCCCCCCCCCCCCCAAAAAAAAAAAAAAAAAAATACCGGGATAATAAAGAATGGGCCCAAAGCAAGTCTCTTTACAATATCCAAGAGCTTATTTCTAAGTTGCTACATTGGGTGCTACAGAACTTGCTCTTTGTAACTCACCTGGAGCCACGAATGTATAAGCGACTTATCACAAGTGTAACGACATCTCTGTTTGACTTGTAAGAGATTGTTTATCAGATCAATTGCTAGAGAAGAGAAGAGAAGAGAAGAATGATTCACATTGATGAATGAGAAACCATGATTAGACTAAGTTTTGTCGCTCTGAAAGTTTTAAACAAAGAAATGTACTGAAACTCACCTTCAGGCGAAATCTCCTGCCATGGATCGGGTGGATACATAAAAGCAGCGTTGTGAATTTGATCTTGAATATCCTCTTCTTCATTGAACGGGAAAGTGCCGCTTAAACTGAAAAAGAACGGATTTCAGTCTGTAATTTCAACTTGAGATCGGCTTGTCCCATGGCTGTCATTTACACCAATGTATACTAACGAAGAAAGTTCAAATTTTCCCATGGTGTCGAGCAGAAGTTACGGTTTCGCAAGGAAGTTGTTTTAACAGACCCCTGATGTGTTAAAACGCATGTTGCCCCTCCCCCCCCCGCCTTTACACCACCACCCTGTTCCAGTACCTCATCATTTGAGACAAGAGTCCAGAGCACTTTGCGGCGTAACGATTTAGCACCAAGTCTGTCAGATTCTCTATAAATGACATCTGCCTTAGACACGTTTAAGACACCCAGGTTTTGTACAGCGATCAGTCGTCGAAGAGCATATTTTCCAATTTGTTTGAATACATAAGTGCTTTCATTCATTTGCATAGTTGTGTGGATGGAAGGGTCTTATTCATCGTTGTGTCTGTGATACCGTGGAGAGACTCGAGACGTATTCCCCAGCTGTTTCAAGAAAGAACTTGAAGATGACTTCTACAGTGTGCGGCAAACGACGAAATAAACTTAAAGTTCCGTCACTTAAATTCAATTCAGGAGAAAATTAGGGGAAAAAAAGCTATTTTAAGAAGTAAAGAAAGATATCATCATTTTAATATCACGGCTAAATGAATTCTGTAAAAGTAGTGGTTAAGCTCTCTTCTTACCTTACATAAACGACGACACCGACCGACCACATATCGAGAGATCTGTTGTATCCTTTATTGAGTAGGACCTCAGGGGCGAGGTAGGCTGGAGTCCCGACAACCGATCGACGGAACGATTTCTCTTCGATTATCCGAGCAAAACCGAAGTCGCACAGTTTGATCTGTTGAAGAGAACAAAAAAAAATCAGGCCTCGCCCGACAAGCTCCTGAATAGTAATAATGATAATAATAACGATAATGACAAGGATGATACTGATACCGATAATAATAATAATAATAATAATAATAATAACAATAATAATGATAATAATGATAATTATAATGATAATGATAACGATCTAGATATCTATCATGATCACGATAAGTGTAATGACTACATTAATAACAACAATCACTTGACATCTACAAATATTTCACAGTTTTGTTTTATGTTCTTCTCATTCCACTATTTTTCAAAGCTTTCTACTCTTAACCATTGCCGTTCTCTAGAAAAAACAAGGCCCACAAATTTATTTCAAAAGAACAGCACTAACGGAACCTCACCTGTGGGAAACCACATTCGGATGATACTGACGATAACAACACATTCTCTGGTTTTAAGTCACAATGAACAATATTTCGGCTGTGTAGATCTCTCAGAGCCACTAAAATCTGTACGCAAAGAAAAAAAAAAGAAAAAACGTAAAGCAAATCGAGATCATTTATCGTTGAGACAACATGACTCATTCAACATCTCTGCTTCTGGACCAAATCCGTCCATCAAGGAGAATGTTGCCATTGGCCGATGGAATACCTATCACCTTAAGAATCGTTGCTTAAAAAAAAAATGCAGTAACAATGATGATAAAACTAGGGATCATTGTAAGTATCTGAGCCACTGTGAATCTACTCCCCCCCCCTCCCCCCCAACTCAACATTAACCCTAACTTTTTATTGGTTGACTATTGTTGATTCTAGGGGGAGTGTTAGATGCGCAGTTGCTTAGATACCGACATTGATCCAAAACTTAGGTCTGACAAAGAAAAATGTGTTGCTATTTCTCTCAAGTGGTGATGTCTGTCCGTGGGAAAATTTCAAGCATTTGTATTATTTTAGTGTAACACAGCATGCGAGGTAAACAGTATTTCACATCGTTCTCTTTATGAATGAACTAAGGTCTTCCTTCCACTCTCAATTTTTTTTGCATTTGTGTCGCACCCTGTCGGAATCATCCCAAAGTCAGACCCAACTCATTCCACCCTGTCGGCGTGCATTGTAATTCAACCAAAGATCAAAGTTTTCCTCATTGTAAGCTGTTTCTCAGATTCGAATTTGTGTGCGTAACTATCGACCAATTACCGATGGATCTGTTAAAGCTACGTCGTCAGAATTGAGCTTTCGATGCAAGTTACCCCAGCTGCGCTTGCTAGGGGAAGTGAATTCATTTTACCTGTGTTATGAGGAATTTCGTGCATCTCTCGTCCAATCTTCCCTTGGCACTCGACAGAATAAGTTCCAACATGTCGCCTCGCATTTTTTCCATGACTACGAACACCTGAAAGACAGATGTTTAAACGTGAATTTATTGTAAACATAGGGGGACCCGAGTCACACCACAGAAATTGGCTCGGTTTTTTCGGGCTTTTCCTGCGCACTCCGTGTGAGGTGTCTACATCCTTGATGATCCTTGTGTTGCTTTCATTTATTTTCATTCTTTTGCTGTTTTTCTTCCCAACCAAGTTATCATTCTGTTTCAAAAGGAATTTTCAACACGGAAAGCAATGATCTACAATCCCCAGACTCCGCTCCGTGATTTCCTTCGACTGATGAGTAAAAAGCCTGTTTTGATGACACGAGAATCGACGAGCACTCTCCTAGAGAGCCAAACAGCACCTATTTGTAAACTGATGCTTTTTCCGTTACACTGAGACCCATTTTATTCCTCCTTGTGAAATTCATAGTGTGAGCAACAGAAGCGGCAACCGAAATAAGTTACCCACAATTGAAGCAAGGTTTTCATTTGAGTCTCGGAAAAACTCTGGGATTGCTTTGTTTTTTGCTTCGCACTGTGATTGGTCAAAAAAACACTCGCGATGCACTTGGTCATTCGCGTTTTTTCCAGCGCTTCGCGTAGTTTGCTTGTTTTTACTTAAAGTTCTGGTTGGCTGAGGTTTCTTGGTGTTGGTTTAATCGGCTCTCTTTCTAGCTGTACTTACCCTTTCAGGAGTTTCAAACATCTCTTCTAAATTCACTACACCTGGGTGGTTGACATGCTAAGGAAAATAAGATGAATAAAAAAAGTAACTTCATTAATGAAAACTTTTCATACGGCACGCTAAATAACGAAGGTTCTGGCCATACTCTCCAAAATGATCTAGGGCGTAATCTTTTTAATGCAAGCACCTTTGAAAAAATTTTAAAAATTGGCAACAGTAAAAAGGGAAAGCACAGACAATGAGAAAAGCAGCGTATTACACACCTGAAGAATTCCTACTTCATTTTTCAATTGCGCTTCTTGTTTTGTAGGAAAGCGTTGTTTGTCAATGACTTTAATAGCTACATCTCGTCCACTTTCACGATGAACCCCTGTTAGTTTTACAAAAAAAAAATCCACTGTCTCGCTTTCTTAAAAAGATTTGTAAGGTTGGTGTAAATTATTGAGTTATACCAAAATTGTTTTATTATCTTTTATTCCTCAGATAACCGCTGCATTCTGCTTATTAGGGGCACCGTTTATTCAAGGACAGTACTTACTCGAGAGCATAAGGTTCACGTCAGGATTTCGACTTGGTAACAAAACTTTGGAAGATTATTTCCTACCTCCAAATACATTCAAAATAGCGAATGAGGTCAGGGATCTGAGTGCTCAATCTTACTTGACATGTACAAAAGGTGACTGATTTTTTCTGTTTAATACGAAATGAATGGCTCGGTGGGTAACTATACGGGTTACTAAAAGCTGAAGATAACCTCCTCTATGCATCAGTACCTCAGAGTTTGTCACAAACGAACTACGCCGCTAATGAAAACCTAATTAAAACACATACCTCCATAGACAATTCCAAACTGTCCTGATCCGAGAATTTCGTCAGGGAATACTTGGTACAGTTGACTAATGTCCTTCAAAAGAGAAACGAAAAAAGTTCTTATCTAATCAAGTATGTAAAAATAAGAACAAAATGCAACTATTTCGCATAATTTAAGAGCTGAAATAAAAGATTGTTGTTGATTGCTTGCTGCTATACGCTAAGTAAGGAGTGCGTGACCAAGAAACATTTTACAAACCAATGGAGCATCTTTCACTTTCTCCTCTTCGTCTGTAACTTCCATCTCTACGTCAGAATTACTAACACCTAAACACAATGGAAAGTTTAGTGCTAACTGAGAGCAGATCATTATAATTACATCATACCGTTTGTAAGAGCGCATTTCCTTCGAGCATCGTAAAACCAAACGTAAAGTAATCACTTTAGCCTATCGGAACAAGGATAATATCACAAGGAACCAATGAGAACTCAAGCGAAAACAGGCAAACCGCCTAAAGCGCGGGAAAACGCGAGTGATCAATTTGCCATTGGTTTTGGATCTGATTGGTCGAGTCGCCAAGGGGGAGGCGCGAGTTTCCTTGACCAATTAAATCGTACTGAGGCAAAAGCATTCAAATCCAACATTACTTGAGATTATCTTGTGTATGGATAACGACATCTACTGAGAAAAATCGCCTCCCAAGGTTTCAAGCAACTCGTCCTCAAGTTAAGGAGCTATGCTACTCTTAGCGCTTCTTGAAAAATTTAGCGTAGAAATGAAAGTTTTTTTTTAAGTCCGTTTTATTCTTGCCCATACTTAGATTATCAGTTGTTACCACGATGCTCTTCGCAAAGTAATACTTTGAAATCAAGTTACGATTTACTTTGCTAGGAGAGTGAAAAGACAAAAGTCACAACATCTCTGCGTATTGCTTATAACTTATGTCCGCTGTTTAAAATTACAGCCAAATTTCTACAGTCTGCACTTGTTGGAAATTGAGCAACGAAGTAGAGTGACGTAGACTCACCGTTGTTGCTTGAGGGGCAAACACTCGTGGTCGGTGTCACACAACCTGGCATAAGAGCAGAGCGCGTGACACTAGCCCAGGCCTGCCCCGCCACTGCTCCTACTCCACTGTCAGGGTCTGGGGTCTCGTTTTCGTCTTCAACTTGCCCCACGTAGTACACCATGTCCCTTGTCTTCATTTCAAAACAGTGCGGGGCTCGAGTGGCGTCTGTCGCCAGAGGGTCAATATTAGAATCAACTGACAGTATTTCAGACAGTTGAATATCCTGTGAGAGATGGAAGAAGATAAAAAAATATAACCTAGAATGTCATGAACTAACTGATTATCATAATTATACAAAATGTGGTGTTTTACAAGGATTACCAGCCCTGAGGAAAGCTGGAGCTACACGATGTAAAATTACGATATTTTTTACGTGTGTTTAACATCGCCAATCAGCTGCTGACAAGTCACTCGCCTTTCATGCCACACTGTCAAGTTGATGAATACGCGTACAATAAATTGTTTATGTGGAATTTCTCTTCTCGTGTTCAGTGTGAGTGATATCGAACGTGTGAGAAATTGAGTAGAACACTCGAAAAGAAATTCCACATCTACGTGGGCCCAAGTATCATTCTCTATTCATTTATTGTGTTTTCAATGATCAATTTGTTGAATTCTTCACAATGAATGTATTAATTCACTATTTTGTTTCTGCCATGTTTGATCAAGAATTATCAGATAAGTCAAAGGTGCAGTGAATCGATTTCATTGTTCACAGCAACAATATCCTCTTCGCCTTACCACTGGAAAGCTAACTTCATGAGAAAAATCAGAAGTTTAAATTGGGCTTTGTGGGTTTATAATTATGCTGAGCAAGTGATTTTAAAAGAGGAGACTTTTTGCATTTTCAGCAAACTTGACTTCTAATCAAAACCGATAAGTATTTTAAATTTGTGATTCTTGATGTTTCAAAACTTTTGGAAGAATAATTTGCCACCCTGTGTTGTTAACTAATGAATTTGTGTCATCACCAACTGCTATTCATCATAAAATAATAAAACTCAACAAAGAACAAACCTTGTAATATCTACTGCTAGTTGAATCTTGGAATAGTGTCAAACACTTTGTGTCTAGTCTCCAGTAGTGTCTTTTCCTCTAAAAACCAAATTTAAAATTATAACTTCATTTAAGAAATCAGTAAAAAAGAATTGACAAACTGAATTCACTGGACAAAGTCGTAGCTAAAGAGTAAAAAAAAAAAACTTGAAATGAACACACTGTTCATAGTTCTTAAAACACCTTGTTTGAATATGAGCTTAGAGATAAGAATTAGTCATGGTCTCATGCACACATGTACATTTAAGGTCAATTTGGCATAGACAACAAATGCACATCATTTGAAACAAAGTTGTCCTATGGTTGTGCTGCATGGAGGAGCCTGCTGTGGCAAGAACTCAAGCTAACCTTAAATTGATCCCTGAGGAGTGAATAGTTTTGAATGTCATGCTACACTTACATGCTCAACTTGAAATTAATGAACAAAGTTAGTTTGGCACAAATATAGTGCAATACTTGGAACAGAATTGACACAGCACAATAACCCTTTAAGTCCCTAGACTTCAAAAAAAATTTTCATTACTGTCTCCTGTACAATTCTCGTGATTTTAGTTTAGAGAATTTGGTATTGGACCAACTGATAATCCCCAAATTGATATCTTCCTTTATTCTCATCATTTGTCTGCTTGATATTGTATTGATATTGTAAGGAGAAATCCTCTCTTGGTCACTGATGAGGGTGAAAGGGTTAAATGCCAACAAAACATATGCCACACCTGAGTATCCTTGCTAGTAAAATGCACCATCCATCCCTGCTTCAACACTTTTGATCCTTTTCTTTTGGTATGCTTCACAGATACAACAATCCGTTGGAGTGGAATGTTGTTGCTCATTGTAGGAGTCAGCTGAGGCAACTCACTGTCTGGTGATGAGGGACTAGTTGGTTCAAAGTCCTCTTGGCTGCTGCGACTTGCTAATTCAATTTCTCTTTCATTCTCACTTAACTCTTGTTCATTTGGAATGTCATTTGAAAGATCCATTTCTGACAAACTTTCAGAAATGGCACCTGAGTCAGAAGAGCCAAGAGACCCTGCAGCATGAAAAACTCTTGGTTGTATCTTTGGTTGGATAATGATAATTTTAATTTATTTAGAGTTTAAGGGTTTTAAAACCCTTTAACTCCAAGTAGTGATTAACATGTAACCTCTCCCTACAATATTCCTACATTATCCAGCAAACAATTAATGAGAATACAAAAACTTATCAGGTAGAAGTTGTTATCTTGATCTTACCACAAATTCTCATAACTAATTTACAAGGAAATGTGTAGCAGCTAGAAGGGAGAATTATCAATCAGATCTTGAAAGCTGATGGGTTAAAACTTAGAAGGAATATATGGTATTGGTAGGGGGAGGAAATTTCAGACCTAGGGATCCACAGAATTAAAAAAACAACCACTGTTTACATTTGTTTTCATGTAAAACTTAAATTATCAGAATCACTTATTTTTTATTTACCTGTTTCTACCATTGCCCCCTCACCCAAACAAGTCTTGCCAACAAACTTCTCACACTTTCGATGGCAGTTATATTTACAATCTGCAATTATTCAAAAGAAGAATATCAGTCATTTGATGACTCAATAGTACAAATTAAGAAAAGCAATATTGACTTTCAATTGCTCATGTCAATTTTATTCAAAGGATCACAAAGAGGAATACCTTTACGGGAATTGCCATTTTAGACATTAACAAGATTCTAGTTGAACATCTACAAAATCTTTAATCAGTAGAAATGTGTCTAGGGATACTTAGTTTTACATGCCCGTATAGATGTTTGCTTCCCCATCTAAATGTTATTTAATTCAGTTTCCCAAGCACTTTTGCCACCAACAGCAGCTATTGGTTTGCTCAAAGGCTTGACCTTTGTTTGGAGCACTCAACAAGGAGCATTCAGATTTCCTTTTTCTTTACATTTCTTACTTTGAATTCCTATTTTCATCAATACACAATCTTAACATTCACAAAATATAAAATGTGGAATGAATTTATCCCTTACCTTTACACTGTAACCCTTGACGGAATAGGCCCTTTAACTGTGAAAAGACAATAAATAGCCAATGTTGGATCTTGGCAATAACAATAACTCACGTGTAAGCATCCAATGAATGTAACTTTGTTTACAAGCAACCTTATCTCAATAGGCAGTCCTAATTGTCTAAAATAACCTTTAAAGTTACAACTTGTTTTCATAAATGGAAATGAATATTGAATCTTCTATGGACAATTCTTCATTTCCATCATTTTAACAACAACTTGCTTTACCATGATTAGAGTTTCCTTTAAGAATTACTTTAAAACTTTTAAGACAACTTCTCTAGTCTGCTACTGGTCAAAAGCAACCAGCCTCTATGGTCTAAGGAGTGCTAATTTTGAACATAATGTAGTTTCAAAGGAACTCTATGATTTATCACAAAGTCATTTTTCCTACCAGTTTTTTGCAAAAGTGGCACACTGTAGGCTTTTTATAGGAATGAACCACGAATGAGTGAGGTATTTGTAATTGGATTCTACCAGACAGCATTCTGTCAATCCAGATTGGACGACCACTCCAAGTTGCCCTTCTGTCTCTTGATGAAGGAAGGCTCTCGGAAAAGGAATTGGAGTGCTGGATCAAGAATGCTGAATCATTTGGGCCACTGACCTGAGAAGCTGGCCTCGGAAGAGTATGTGAATGCAGAGCCATGTTTAATCCAGAAGCACTGTTGCGATGTCTTGAATCTGAACAATTATTTGGTATCTTGAATGCACATTTTTTGTGATAGTTACCACCACATCCTGTGAAAGTAAAGGTAACAGTCCTTGCTCTTTTTCAAAGTCTTCCATTTTCTTACAATATCCTTTTTACCGAACATGACCAAGTAAAGAAACATGCCCAGCTGCTACTGTATGGTTTGCCATGGTAAGTAGAGAAATATTTTTAAAAGGAATAAATTTGTAGCTAAAGTTGTCAATACAGCATATGATCATTAACAAAATGGTGACCTTTTCATTTCTAAGTGATGTGATTTAAGCTAGAGAGAAACAAACATTTTCATATGGGGGTGGGGTGGGGGGAGGGGGAGGGGGAGGGAGGAGTGACAAAGTCATAGTTCTGAAAATTGTTTGACAAACAGAAAGTCTTTCACTTTCAGAGGTTACCATGTGTTCATTTCTTATTAAAATGTTATTACAATGTCAAGTAATTAGGCACTGATATAAAAAGCTGTATACAGAACAGATCAAGCAGATGTTATCTTGATAAAAGTCCAGATTTTTGTCAGCATTTATCAAAGAAATGTAGGGACTTCTGTTGCAAGAATCCATTTTTAGATCCTGAGAATGAAAGAGTACCATATCAATAATAACTAGAGATTGTACCTTCACATTTGATTCCTTGTCTTACAAGGCCAAACAACATTTCACCACAAAAGTCACAAAATGTTGGAGATCTGTATGAATGAACAATCAGCATGTGAGGACGAATAATGGTCTCATCTGCTGGGACTTTAGCTGAAAAAAAAAAAAAAATCAACAAAGAAGAAAATTATTCAAAATACTTAAAAAAGGTAAAAGGAATTATTATCATAATGATAATAATCAACACCATTATTGACATTTATTTCATTTAACTTCAAAATTTAGAGAATTTAAAACATAATTGAAATATCAGAGACTCCCATCTCAAGTACCATTAACACTGCATCCTTAAAAGTGCCTCCCCATCCCCACCCTCTTCTCTGCCGTAAGTTTGTCCCCTTAGAACTAAACCAGTTACGGTGACAAGTGTATTAAGGCAAAACTAAGAAAAATTTCATCTTGTCAACTAAATTAACTTCATTCTAATTTCTTCCTGGTCATGGTCTGATTCAAACAATGCTGTTCATGCCTGGAATACATAACATCATAATTTTCTAAGATGTCAAGTTGCATCACACCCACAATTTGCATCACACCCACCCACTGACCACTTATAAACCCATATAGACCTCTTGCTGGGGAAATAACATAATCATATTTCACATATAAGTAATTAGAGTGAAACATTTTCTCTTGGCAGCAAACCCAGTTTTTAAGCTGACATACCTGAAACAACAACTTCAATAACAGAGCCTTCATGCAACTGGTCCACGCTGGTTAACTTCTCCAATATGTTAGTTGTGGAATAGTTATGTATAAACATGATCACTTTGTCTGCTATGCCAATGCAAGAGTGGTCTGGGAACTGATTGGGAAAAAAATAAAGAGGAAAGAAACACAGCTAAATGACACAAAACAGTCTGTGATCCAAAATTTCCCACACAACATTAAGCACAATGTTATAAGCACAATGCACTATGAGTGTTATAATCAAAATAGGTTATTAGTTAAATTGGGAAAAAGTCCTGAGCCTAGTTTGTTCTGCTGCTGAAGCATATGTTTGTTTTGTATCATGAGCCAAGAGACCCTTGTTTATTTTTCAATCACAGATTTTACTTTTTGAAAAAGCTTCGAAAGATATAATTCCATACACTGATGGGATGCTGATCTACTGAGGGTAACCCTCTAACCCCTGTATATTAAATCAGTTTTCCTTGATAATTTCTTACAGTATTTACCCTCCTGGACATTGTGGAAAGAGAAGTACTGTGGGTGTTTCTCTCATGAACAAAACATGAATTATCATTACTCTGTCAGGCATTGTGGCATATTTTGCAGGCCTAACCTTTTAACTCCCAAGATCTCTTTAGTAATTCTCCTTACTGTCTGCTATATAGTTCTTGTGATGTTAGCTTGGAGAATTTGGTATTAGATCAACTAATGATCCCCTAGTTAAGATTTTTCTTTATTCTCGTCACTTGTCTACTGGATATTGTATTGATATTGTAAGGAGAAATTCTGTCTTGGTCACTCGTGGAAAGTTTAAGCATTAAATAGCTTGCAAGCTAGGGTAACTGTTCGTACTCTTTTGTCGTCATTTTTATAGGTTCTTATTTGCTCAAGGCCCTCCAAAGTCATAGTTATAATGATACTACTACTAATAATAATAATACTATCATCATCATCATAAAACTGTTGATGTTCTTTGACCTAAATGTTTTGGGCCCCTCTAAGTGCCCATTTTAACTTGATCTGTTAAACTCTGAGAAGAGGCCTGAGCATATGGACTCTATTGATTTACTAACACATCATAACTTGACACCAGAAATTTTCTACAGGAGCACAGCAGGAGAGTACTGCAGTTTATTGGTGTAATGCCTCTGCCATTACTATTTTGTTTTCATTCTCATGGTAAATTTATTATGTATCAATTGGGTAAGTGTAGTAAAACTCCCCAAAATAGCACTTAGCAATCAACCAGTTGCCCGTATCACCTGTAAGACAGGCTTCATCAAATCTTACCGACAGAATGTAGAGAAACATAAGCCAACAGAAAAGATGCTTTAAATTGAACTGTTTGGGTGAAAAAAAAATTGATTTGCCACTTAGAACAAAGAGTTGCAACGAAATTGGGAAGATAACATAATGTGTTTGACTCTTTAACACAAGTAACCCAAACTCAAGACAAAAAAAAAAAAAACGTCAAAATAATCCATTTTACATCAGGATAATTGGATTTTCAAGTTCATTATCCCAATCATACCACACACAAACCCTTTCATATCGACCAACGACAGATGTGTACTTCAAACACAGGCTGACTGCAGTCATGCTTAAGGATCCAGCAGTGATAGTTCGTCAAGAGCAGAACATTACTCAAGAAAGATCATAACCAGTTTAAGAAATGCCTTAAGTTGTTTATGCTTGAGATATCAAATTTCAGATCCTAAAAATAGTTCATTGTGCACTAGGATATAATGCAAGTAGAATGAAAATGCAATAGTGTGCATTTACCTACTTCTTCTGCTTGTAAATTTTCACAGAACAAAGCTCAATCTAAACAGCTGGTATTCATTCATGAGATCATTTTCAATTTGCAAATTGCTGAATTTGACATACAGCATCAAAGGGAAAAATTTTCTTTCAAGTATAAGCAAATAAGAATTTTTTTCACACTTGAAGTAGTAAAAGCATTGTTTAGTTTTAGTAAATTTGTCTTAAACACTCAAACTACAGTAGCGGGGTTTTTATTCCTTTGATTTAACAATAAGAAAAAAAAAACCAAAAGAGGAGAAAATAAACAAACTTGCCTAATTTCCAGGTCTTTGACGAACATTCTGATTAAAATTTAGAGCGATACAAACTCTAGCAAAGCCTGTTGAAATGACATATACGTGCGAAGTTCGTGATCGAACCGAGCTTTTGATGTTGAATATATTTTTGGTTATAAATGTGACATTTGCAGGTGCACGCGACAAAACGCCTCCAGAATTGGCAATATCGACGTTATTTGAATATCTACGACGACAAATGAACCTATCTAATGACTGTTCAACTGAGAAGAACCCGTAGTTAAAAGAAAAAACTTAAAGAAAAAAACAGGAAGTTATTGGCGCTGGTGTGGCGACAAACGCACCGATACACAGCATAAATCGACATCACCTATTTCGTGTCTCTTTGATGACCGATCCATTGCACTAATTTGCCAATTTCCCAAAAAGAGGAATCTGGTTGATGCAAAATGGTTTATGAAGCTAGACGTTAACCAGGGGTATAGAAAAATTGTACACATAGCGATTTAGAGTCTAGTTACACTTGAACAATATGAACAACCGTCCACAAACTTTGAAAACTTTAACAACTAAGAACATTACCACTTGCAGATAAGATCACTTTAGACCGGTTTAAATTGACGGAAACTCTGAGCCGAGAGACCCTTGTTCATTTTTCATTCACAGATTTTAATTTTCGAAAAAAACTTCGAAAGATATTACTCCGTACGCTAGAATGGTTTAGTGTCTTGGATGAATGACCCATGCCGCGTGACAGCAAATAGTCGTTGATGGTTCTTCACGTTGTTTTCGCTATCGACTGTCGCTCACGAACAAGGGGCGGTCGGAGAAAATCGAGATATACAACCACTAAACATGCTATAATCGGCCATGCGGTCTGTCGTGGTGAATATTTAAACAAAACACGATTTAAATAAAAGGGCCCTCTAAAAGACACGGACACAAACTGTCATTTTACATCCTGTGAGCTCGCAACCGTTAAATAAACTATAAAAACAAAAAAATTATTGACCATCAAAGTCACCATCTATTTTCTGTAGTTGGCGGCGAACTCGATGACTAATAAGCAGTCGGTGATATTAAAGAGTGACTTTACGAGCCAAGATAAAGATTTGTTCCTTGTGCGATCAGCAGAAAATATAAGCTTGAGAATTAAAGATCCGAATGATCGAATCTTGTTCTTTCCCCCGAATTAAAAGTAACAGAAACGTCAGCAGTTGGATGCTATATTTCTCACGGATAAACCCTAAAAGAGAGCAACTGTGGTTGAACCAAAATGCTGGCGATTAAATAAGCTTAATTATACCTTTTGATCGAGGAACGAATGTGCCAGTTCTCTTAACGCCGACATATCCTTTCCTTCAAATCCATACGTTTCCCTTGCCAAGCCGCATTGGAAGGAAATTCCTCTCCGCGGATAGACAGGCTCAGTCATAGCTGTACACACAAATCATCAAAGAATATTCTCTAAACATCAATCACACACAACCCAAAAGGCGATAAATTTCGCTGACCAAAGAGTTATTACTCGCTACTGTCTCTACTAGAAATATTTCCCTAACAATATGGGCGACAACATTGTCACGTGACAGCTACATATTGCCCGGCAGAAAAAAAAAGAGAGGAACGTATTTCCGGTAATTTTAACTTCCGGTATTGTTTGAAGGGTAAAATTGTATGATCATAATACACAAAAGCAAACAAGCAAAGAAACGGAAATAAATGGTTGAACTGATAAACGTACGTCCAGTGTAATAACGCCTAATATAGCAAATGAAATGAAAGACTACAAGCTCGCCAACCTGCAACAAAAATGGAATGTGAGATCTTTCAATCTTTTATGACACAAGAAAGACTGCTCAATACAGAGTACAATATAACAATCAAACTGCAAGTTTTATGTGCACGCAATTTCGTGGGTAAAGAAATTCGATAGTTCAAGAAATTTGCTTTAAAGTACTTTTCCTGAAAAGCCCCTTTTCTCATTTCTTGCTTTTTCAATGAACTTCCGCGATTTGCCGTAACGAATTTGGTTAGGTTGACACTGATGACGTAAGTCCCTCTTCTCAATAACGTCAGAGCAAATGTAATAATAGGAATCTGACGTCACAGAAATGCGCTCTATAGACAAAAATAATGGTTTACGAGCAAGACAACAAGTAGACCATCCAGTTCTATAAACAGCTCGCAGTCACGGTTAAGGCTGCGACTCTATACATCTAGAGTGGTTTACTCTCGTTTCGTCAAGAAAAGCCTGCAATGAAGAGTCGCAAATTTGACTGTTACTAATGTTTTGTGAAGTATTACACCGATTTGAAATGACATATTGTGTAATAACCATGCTATCTAACATTGACGAAGTCTAAATAATTTGCGGCAAAGGAATTCGAAACTACTCTGATAACTTATTACCGCCAGGGGTATTCCCTTACCTGAAAATAGAACATTCTTTTAAGCTTCATTGAGCGCTGTTAGCTCACGCATTTCTAGTACAGAATGTCACAAGTGCAAGTGAAGGGAATGCTGGTAACTGAGAAAGACGTAGGAATGATTTTCATTTGAGAATTCGAGGAGGACATTTCTTATTTAATGGGATAATCTGACAGATTGATATTTGTATGTAGCAATGATATGTCTTAGGAGTAATAACGCAGTTTAGAGAATAGGTCAAATTTTCTACACCAAATACGGTTTAAAATGTTTTTCATCTCCACAACTATCTTCGTGTCGTTGTGAAAATGGTTACCAACCCTGCAAATCTGAATAAATTTGACATTGCTTCTTTATATTGGCCGTGCCGTTCACTCTTTCTTCAATGGCCTTGGGAGAACTTTCGTAGGTTGAACTACCTATTAGCCAGGCTGGGAGTGACCTCCAAGCCCTAGGAAAGCTACCAGTAAACAACAACTAAGGATGACTGATATCAACTGGCCGCTTCCAGAGCTAACATTGAACATTTGGATCGATATGCAACATGTGCTTGACAACCAAACGGAAACTTGAATAGGACACCCCAATGACGAGACGACGTTGTGACGAAAAGCGATGTGAAACTTGCTCAAGTTTAAATATAATTCAAAGGCCTCCGAGATTTTCTAGAGGATGTTCACTCACAGGAAGTTAAAAAGATACTAACATCTCATATCTGAGATTATCCAAAGCCACTCTCAGTGATGTGCGGATACAGGTTTGTTTTAAGGTTCAACAAACAATCGGAACAAGAGGCTAATTCCTAATTTCGCACCCTCTGCTTTAGACACGAAAATCATAATTTGTTTGATAGCAAATAACCTTCAAGACCAAAAAAGACACAGTCATGCCTTTCCGCTCACTCTCTCTCTCAAACCACAACGTACAATATTATTTACTTGCTTATTGGACAAAGTCAAGTTGACTTGTTATGTCTGTTAAACCAAAATACTTCAATAAAATAGTTGCGATGTTCGACTTTTTTTTTATTACTGCATATATGGCAACTTACAAGGTCTCAATCTACGAATGGCGTTCCGTGAGCCGTGATCGTTTCGGCCAGCGCACTAACTTCGTACTCACACCTTCGACGGCTGTGTGAGATTGCTGGCCGAAAGACCTACAGCTCTTGCGATACAACTGAGTATTGCTGAAAAGCAGGTACAGATTACGTCTCTCTCTCTAATATACACGTTTGGCTTATTGAACCTTTATACAGCGAGTGTAAATTCAGTCTCATACAGATCATATCACAATAGTTATTTTAAATGACATAGATTACTAATTTCCGAAAAACAAAACAAAACCTAAAAAAAATTTTTCGTGCTCCCATCAACTTAAGCAAGTTTATTTTCAAAGAGGCAAACAAGTAAATTTGCTGAGTTAGTTAGATTTCAACTTCGAAGATCAGACACAAAACTTGCAGAATATCACCACAACAAACAACAAAGCCTGCCTGCTGAGGAACACAAATAAAAAGTTTGGATTAAATACCATTGCTCTAGTTCAGTCTTGTTGACAGTTCCTCTATCATCCCACTTCCCAAATGTGTATTATAGTTAAACAGCTTATTTCATTTTAACACATGATGAAACTGATCCCATTCAGCAAACTTGTGATCTTGGGACTCCAGGTGCAAACTACAGCCATCACAAATTTCAATATTAACAGATTTATCAACAGTGGACACACTCCTTCAGAGAACAGACTACATAACGAGAATTCATCTCTGCAAAATACCCACAAACCTGACAAAAAGGTTTTAACACTTTTCCTCATTCAACCAACCCAAATGAAACCTTTAATATCTGTAGTTTCAACAGACATAGTAGACGAAATCTGCATGAACAATTCTGCACTGTCAAGAAAATCTATAAATAACAACAATTTTCAAAAACCAACCTCTGCAAAATGCTATCTACTTCATTACTGCAATCATTTTAAACAAGTGTCATTCACAGACAAAGAACCCTTATTACATGTGCTCAAAATAATAATTATTTAATGTTCTGTTCTGAAGGGAATGGCCAAGCTTCATAGGAAACACCTCATAGAGCTTAAACCACAGCAGTTGAGACAAAGAAGCTTTCAAGGAAAATTTCACACCATGGCTGGGTCTTCAACTCAGTACCTCTTCAGTGAAGCCATTTCCATAAAAAGAAAACCAACGACTGCTACCAATGCTGTAGTAAAGAGTGTCAAACAAAATTCCAACAGATTTCAACTTTCTCTGACATTCATGTAAAATCCACACAAATTAAGGAGCAAGGCAGGCAATTGGGAGAATTACACTTGAAAATCAGATCTCATTTTGGAATCATTTGAATTCCATGAACTGGAGTTTTGGTGTTTATGAAGCTTTCTGCTTTTGCAGTTTAGCAGGCAGCTTGGACTTTGCCCTGAAAGATACAAAATGTGAAAATTATGGTCAAACAGGTCAAGTGTCCATCCACAGTGAACATTCAAGTCCCTTTAAAAAAAAAATTGTTAATAAGCATTGCTGGTAAATACCTTGCAGGAAATAGTGCTATTTGCTAATTCAGAAGGGACAAAATTGTAAGTCACGAGTGTAATTTCTAACTGCTTTTCAGAATATGGACAAAAATAAACTAATATTTTGGTTACTGTGTGCTATATACTGAGACAATTATTCACCTCAGTATCAGTAAAAGTGGTGGACATCTACCTTGCTAATTCATGGCTTGTTAAATATCCACCAATATTCACTTCCACTTTGGTAAATTATTGTTGAATAACACTGCTAAAAAAGCAACAACAACTTACTGTTCAATGAGGCTTCCAACTTTCTTTCGAGCCAATTGGACGTACTCATCAACCTTATCCTGAAAGTGAAAACAAATATTAAGTAAGGGGAAAAAATGTACTTCTTATCAATTTCAACAAAAAAAATTCTCTTAAATCAAACGAGATACAGAGATATGAATTCCTAATCATTGCTCAATTTTATTACGCACCTGATGATCTTCATACAAGCGAGGCACAGAGAATAGGACAATAACACCTGTCAAGGAAATCACCAGGAAATAATGATACAGAAGGAATGACTGGATGATGAACTCAGTAACTGCACAATTATTGTTGACTACTTCACTAACGTACTCACTGACCAACTGACTCACTCCCTCATTCACCAACTAAATCACTGACTCATTCACTGACTTCCTGATTCACCCTCTAACCAACTTGATCACTGACTCATTCACTCAGTCACGCACTCACTGATAAAATGACTTGTATTGAAGGTACCCACCGATAATGATGAGAGTTAAGGCACTGAACCAAGCTCCAACATAGGATAGAACCCACAACAAAAGTCCAAACTGCAAAAAATTACAACCATTGGCCACTAAGTAAAGAAGCTGACTCATCTGCCTTAAGCCGTATTTACACTACAGTTCAGAAGCCATTTTCAAAAGCCACATTAAGTCAACAATAACCTCTGTTTCCTTTACATAGCAAGGAATAAGTCTTTGCTTAGATCATTGTTAAAATTATCTGGGCTCAATTCATCTTGAATTTTATCAATTCATTAAGGAGCTACTATAAAATAATGGCAGACATAAGAGCACACTTGACATTCTATCATATACCTTGATGGAGTCAACAATATCCTCTACTAGGAAGAGTCGCCTCAGTTCCTTGGAATAACAGTTGATATGATCAATACTGGCCTCTACAAACTCCACAGCCTGCAATGAGTAACACAATCAAACTTTAGGTTGCGCTGCAGCAGTTCTATGCTTAATATGTAATCCAAAAACTGTTTGCACAAACTAACCCTCTTACACATAAATTTGTCTTGGTCAGTATCCACCAATCCTGACCTGACACTTGGTCAATAACACACAGTGACCAGAAGACATTTTTGTGCTGAGTGCCGAGGTTCAATTCATCTTATTGTAAAACCTTTTCTGAAGAGTCCAACCAAGGCCACTTAAAGCAAAAACATTGAGAAACTCTATGTAGAGGATTTTAATACAGGAAATCACCATGCAAAAGACCAAGATTTCGTTTTACCTTTTCTTTGGGGATATCCACGTCTCTCTCAAGAACAGTTCTGTCAAAGATGGAAGAAAAGAAGTCACATAAAATGAATATACTTAATAGTGCAACTTTGGATACAGGTGCAAAGTTGTGTTAAGCTTGTTGATACAATTTACACTGTTACATTTTCAATTTGATTTAAAAATATTAGTTATTCCTCATTATTCATCATTCCTCCTTAGAGGAAGCAGTGTAGCCAAGTAGTCAGGGTGCTGGCTTGTAATCTCAACTGATTTTTTCTCAGCTGTCCAGAGTTCAATTACTTAGCTGCACTTTATGTATGGCCAACTGGTCTGCCTCCTGCCAGTTGAGTGTTTTAAACAGTACCTTCCTTAACAATGTCACGATTTGTTCATATTTGCCCTGAAGAGCCCCCATCGGGGAGGTGGTAAATCAATTAAACATACAAACATTGTGAAAAAAAGTAGTGATGAAGTATTATGGTGGGCCTCATGACATGGTCATTTCCTATGAGGGTCCTACCATTTTGACTGCATACTGCAAGTCTTCTTCAGGCAATAAAGGTCACATGGTTATTATGTTTCCCTGTGAAAAACTAGCTTTCAACATCAGTGTTCTCTTTTTTAAGGCACTAACATCTTAAATTTACCACTTGTAGTGCCTCTTATTGAAAATTCAAAAACAGGATCAAACTCAAACAGTTTGAAAATTTCTTTCACCTGTCATACTTAAAATAGAGAAGAACACTGCAACAGCTCTGCTATTTTAATGGTTGGTCACCAAAAGCTGTTCAGTACCTTTTTAAGCACTTACTTGAAGGGATTCTCAGTGCCGCTTTTCTGGATAGCACCCATAACAGTCATGCCAACCCTATAAAGCAGCGACACTGTTAACAGCGCCATGGAGAAGAAGGTCACAACACTGAGGAATGTATATGTGGTCAAAGAGAACAACAAAACCAGTTCAATGGCAACCACTATTCCTGTTTTCTTCAGACACCGCCAGTAGATCAGATCAATTACTAAAAACAAGAAAGAGCAGAAATTACATCAAAACTCTCTGAACAGTACAGATCTCTGTATTAACCATTCTAACACCTTATGGGCAATCAAATATTGTCTTCAGTAAACCAAGAAGCTTTTCTGAAGAGATGAGAAAGAATGCTTCAAATTTAAAAAGTGAACTCTGCATCTCTACAACAGCCACCATATGGCGTACAGATCTCGAACCAATTCTGCAGGTTTTCAGTAATTCTGAAAGATTGAAACTAAACTGTACATCAAAATTCCCTCGCTTTTCCTATTTTCTTTTAACTCCACATTCTAGTCTCAAAAGACCTCAAACAATCTAGCTTTTGCTTCACTTATTTGTATCATTCCTGTCTATTGAAAGCATAAGAAGTGGATATCAGAAGAGTTTGCCTGTATAAATAGTTTTTTAAAGTAAGTGAACTTCAACAGAAGGAACAATCTGGTCTTGTTTGAAGGTAACTAATCTGCAATAAAAATCAAGTCCTGATGTGTAAATTCCCTTGAAAGCTTCTACAACAAATTGCATCAATCTACAAAGACAAATCTGTATGGCATGCTGTCCTCTCTCAAAATGTTTTAATAAATTGTCTGTGTTGCCAAAAATAACGCCACAAAGTAACTGGCTCAAATAATAGGAAGAGTATGATGCTTTAAAAAATTTATTTGGAATGCTGGGGAACAGTAAAGGTAGACTACAAAGAATAGAAGCTTAATTCTCCAGTGGTAACAGAGTTTTACTCTCAAAGAAGAATGAAACAAAAATTCATTAGAAGAATGTCTCTTAGACCAGAACCACCACAATACCAAATATGAAAGTGAAAATGCAAATTCACTCGAAAAATAAGCATAACGTTTGACTTTACATTAAATCTTGTACAAGCATATAGGGTGTGGAATTATTTCAAAATAGATTTAAATTCTGATCCTGATAGAATGCTTAATAACCTGTACCATAAAAAAAGGAACAGTCCATACAAGGAGTTTTTCAGCATTAGATACACAGAGGAGGTGTATTCTTATATAAAAGCTGAAAACAATTCCTCTGCAAGATAGGATCAAATATCTGAATCTACAAGAGCAACAGGATTGAAAGGAATATTGTAAATACACCAGCAGGTGTAATATCGAAAACTCTAAGAAGCATTGATCTCATCTTACTTTCATAGAAAAATCAAGAAACTCTGCTACATGAAAAGTAAAATTTATCAGAAAAGAATGTGACTCATGTAAATAACCAGAAATGAAGTGAAAAAATTTAAGTTAGTTTATAGACCCCACCCCAAATCTTAGTCAAAAACCAAAATATAAGGTGGTTACTTATAAATAATTCAGTTTGACATAATCATAGGGAATAATTATGCCAGTCAACTGGAAAGAACTTCTATGAATATCTGGGGCAAAAACATAATACGAATAGATTTGAATTGAAAATGAATGATTCACTTTCTCCTGTAAACAAAATGGCATAGTCATATGTGTGAAGAAGAGTCCAATACACGATTCAAGGCCAATTTTAAATGGGGAAAATTGCCTAACCATAATGAAGCTATTTACTCTCAATTCCTCCCTATATTCTGGGCTTTGGTTGCGATTTAATAAACGAATGAAGTTTCCAATAAAGCAATGAACAGGGTGCGACCATCGTTTCATATGTTTTCATTTTGAAGACAGCGCCCTGGTCTACAGTAGATAACACCGTAACAGTTTCAAGTCAGTGCAATTGAATTCGCAGTAAATAAAATATATCACCTTACTGTCAACATTTTTTTTTTACGAGATATTGATTTCAACGACGATGAAGAATCAACTTCGATGGCCAACAAAGAAAATCTTGTACACGTTCTGTCGTGTCGAGTGCCTCGCTCGCCTCCGCAGGTCATCTAAGCAACAATGAACCTTTACTTAAATATTCCCGATTATTGAGAGCTATATACCTCGTTGATCCACACCGTTTTGTTTCATCCATACCGCCGGCCAACTTGTCAGCTCTACAATACAACAAAGATCAAATTTTTTTAACAAAATATTAGCTCACGGCCTACTGAAGTAATCCTTCTTCACTGTCTCTGTGTTCGTTTGCCGGCAATCGATCTCAGAATAAAGTGCACTTCTTGTCTTCTACCTCGAACTACATTTGCAAAGTTACAACAAAAATCAAACGTAATTAGCTCTGCTACTTTACATCATCCGCGCAAACCAGTTCAATAAGTTTACCGCTCCTTAGTACAGTACATAAATACACATGTACAACCATCAGCCATAACTGCCAATCTCACCTTTCGTGGCTGGTTCTTCTGGTTTTTCTTCCGATTCTACTTGCTCTGATACTAGATCTTCGACAGCCGACGTTTCTTCTCTTTCATCAGGCACGTTTTCACCTTCTGGCGATGGTTCGTCTTTTACAATGTCATCCAAAGATGGTGTAGTCGAGGAGACATCCTCCTGATCCTCCATGCCTGATGAAAAATCTACCAAGTCTCCTGTTTCTGGTGAAGCGGACTCCGACATCATCAAACTCAATATTCCCAAATGTTTACGCTTGACCTCCGATACAATACTTTAAAACTTCAAGTAAATTGACCAGAAAGTTAGATCTTACGCAAGGACGAAACTTAGAAGTGATGGTGGACTATGTTTTCAAAAATCACACTGGCGCAATTTCCACAAGTCGCCATATTTGGGAAAGCGAATGTAAAAGAACCAATCAGAGTAGTCGTTATAATTCGTTTTTTTTAATAGTCCTCCAAATAAGGAAGTCTCAAAGTTCAAAGTGAAACTCAGAGCAAGCAGAAAGATACAAGCTAACAGAGTTTATGAATTCAGATCGAAAACTCGCTTTGGGGACAAAAAATTAAAAAGGGAATGATCCTCGCGTGGACAGCGAAAAAAAAAAGTTGCAAAAAAGGGAAAAATGAAAAAATTCGAGCTTCGCTACGACGGGATTCGAACCTGTTCCTCCCAGAATACCGGACATATGGTTGCTACTACCTCCTAACCTTGCGAACTGAATTCTCAGTTTTCTGGGAATTCCTAGGAATTCTCCGAAATTCCCAATTATGCAAATGACCCTCGCAAACTGAATTCTCAGTTTTCTGGGAATTCCTAGGAATTCCTAAGAATTCTCAAAAATTCCCAACTATGCAAATTAACTCTGATTTAAAAAGCTTGGAATTACTAGGAATTTCTGGGAAGACTCCAGTTTTGTGAGGACTTGGAATCCCTAGGAATTCCTAGGAATTCTCAGCTATACAAGCTACCTATAATTTAAGAAGTGTGGAACTCTTGGGAATATCTGGGAATTGAATTTGAGGCAATTTAAATACCCTGAGGTCCACATAAATTTTAAGAAATTCTCAATACCTTGAATGTGAAGGATTTAAGAAAAGGAGTAATTTCAGAGGCTTAAAACTTTAGCTCAATAAAAGGTATGCTATACAAAACTTACCAAGAGATATACATACATGTATATGTTTATAACTTAAAGATCATGAAATTTCTTATTCAAACTTAGTTTTAGTAAATCTTTACATTAATATGGATTTTCTCATGAACCAGCAGTCAGTTATGTTAAATGGAAATTGCCAATTAATCCAATGTACTCATATCACAGATTTGCTTTCTAACTTCAAAGGACTCTTGGATTCCATAATCAAAAAATATTTTAATTGTGATGCAAATTAATGTCTCATGTTCACTGATGTGCCAAAATCATCAAACATTCATTAGCTGTTCCTTGGTACACAACTTCCTCAATAATTAACAATAATTACATTGTTATCTACACTTTGTTAGTTATGAACATAAGTTACTTCCCTAACCTTCATTACTGGTTGCCTTTGTTAGAAAACCTTGGAACAGTCAAGCTCAGTTGCCTCAAACACTGTCAGAGACTTTTTGTTGACAATATTTTTAGTAGAAATTTCATGCCTTAAACAAACAAATTCAACAACTAATTAATCTTTCTTTTTTCATGATTTTTGTTGCCTTTTTTTTCAGTTTTTTGCTCTGTTTTTGTGACTAATTGCTGTAATTTGTTTTGCTGTTTTTATTCTTACAAAACATTTTTGTAGGACTTCCAATACTTGTGGATCATCCACACACTTTGCAATCATTTGGCATGCAGACAAGACAGAGGTAGTCAATGTTCCCATTGAGAAAAAACACCTTTTAAATGACGTCTTTAATTTACTTTATTTGAAACTCTGATCTGAAAATATTTGTCAACAAGACTTGTTATTATTGAGAAGTACCAACCAAGTTTCCTTTCATAACTTAATTTCTTAAATGTCCCAATCACTGGATCTCCCAAAAAATATTACATCTTTTTATTTTTGGTGCAAAATACAAGTCCTTCTTTATATAAAAATGAAAATTGCAATTCACACTTCAATAATAACAGCTCTTAAGTTTACTTGTTGTTCTTCTCTGTCTGTCAGCTATCAACAAAATTGTTTTATACTTCGGACAGTGCATAACTATTTGTGGACCAGAGTTCCAACGCACCTCTGAAATCGCATATAGTTACTTCTGTCTCTTGTACAAATGTTTCTCCTTTGTAAGACGCACTCTACTCTGTTGTCACTACTGCTTTAAGTTCAGTGGAAACGACTGACTGAGGAATCGAGATGGCGCTGTTGGAACGTGTTGCTGAACGCTTGCTACTGTCAAGCTTTGTAGATTTAGGTACTGGTACACTGGGATCATCTATGTATCTCTTATACTTCCTAATGTGGTATCCTTCTTTTATAAATATGAGGGTAAAAGACGATTTGTAGTCGCATTCAAAACTGTGATTGGCTTGTGTTATTTCTCACCTTTGCCATGAACACAACTCAAGTGAGTTTCGAGTCTTTGTTTCCTCGACAACTTTCGGCCACAAATCGTGCATTTGTAATACCATCGATCTTCAGATTCTTTCCGCCTCGTGTCGGGATTATTTAGACGCTATTCTTATTCAATGACATGTAAATGAGTTGCTCAAATCATTCTTGTCGATTTATATCAAATCATTATTTATATCACCAAGGTATCCATCGTCTAGAAGCACAGAACCGGTTGGAGAAGTCAGACTAAATTTGTGCGCTTCTCTCAACACTGCAATCGGCAAGCCAGCGGATTCACTTTGCTAGCCAATGACAAGTCCTAAAAGATCCACGTGATCATGCCCGTGATCGGAAACAAATAAGACTCCATTTGGCGCTCGTCTTTGAATGTACTTTTCATCGGTTGATCGTTTTTCTCAACTGTTTTGCTTAATATAACATTTCTAAAGATAGCTTTTATTGTGGTTCAATGGGAAAACGAGAACAGCGTGAGTGTGTGCGCCGTGGAGTTAAAAGAAGGGACAACAGTTGACATATTGACTGGTACAAACAAGGGTCGAGTGGCCATCTGTAAAGCTACGATTTTGAAAGTTTGTGGTGAGTAAAAATTGCGATATTCGTTACGTGATCAAAATCTTATAAAAGAATAGATGTAGCGGGTTGAATTAAGCTTACATAACGCTCGGCGCAACTGAAACTAGAATAATTCTGAGAATCGAATCGGTCACTTGCATGCCGCAGTTTCTTAAGCTTATGCTTTACAATAAAATAAACCTATCAGTATAAGGTTTCAAGATTCCTCTAGTCACGTTTGGGAACATGCAAGATTCATAATAGGAACTGTTATTAAACAAACCTTATTACATAAAGAAGCCCTCCTTGGTAAAAACAAAATAATGTATTCAGCCCTTTTTTAATAAAATCCATGAGAGGGATGTACTAACTCCAATATAAAGGTCACTCAATATAACAGAGATTTCTCAATTTGAGAATTCAATGAATGCCCTTTTCCTCATAACCATCTTAAAGGCCTGGTCTGAGCTTTAAATATATTTATTTAAATTTTTTTTTTTTTCAAATTCAGATGTCATGGAATCCAGATACAAAATGGTCAAGCTTCTTGTGGACAACCTCATTCAAGGCCAACTTATTGTGAGCCCAGGAAAAAAAATACAAACAGCAGCTAAGTTTGCAGTTTAGGATAACTTCATTCTAATTTATTGTTACAGTTACAACAAGATTTTAATCAAAAAATCAATTTTATCTGTCTGTAATTAACCCCTTCACTCCCAAGAGTGCTTGATTTTCAAATATAATTCAAGATATTGTATTTTATGGAAAAGAATCAACAGATTTCCATATGAAGTTTTCAAGAAAAGAAAAATAAATCAAATTCCATCCTGATATTACCACGCGTTGATGTTAATAATTAATCAAAAATATTTTACACATAAGCCTTAATTAAGCTTCTAAATAAATTTCATTGAATACTTGAATTTTAGCTGGGTTTTTTTAATTTAAAGTATTTATTTTACATCATTAGCCTCAAAGTTTTGCTTAAAATTCCTAGTAATTATTAAACATTCCTAAAAATTCCCAAAAATTCCCAGAAATTCCTAGGAATTTTCTAGATTTACAGCTTTTCAGAGAAAGTCATTGGTTCTCTGAGTTGGAATTCCAAGTCCTGTTGGCTATAAACTTGGAATTTCTGGGAATTTCTGGGAATTTCTAGGAATTTCTAGGTTTTTAGAACCAGAGTTGTTATGTTTGGGAATTCCTAGGAATTCCCAGTCTGAATTTACTGTGAAAATTCACACCTTTATTCCTAGTAATTCCTAGGAAAATCCTAGGAATTCCTAGGAATTCCAAAAGCCATTTTGCAAGGGTAAGATTCGAAACCACATATCACAAAAGAGGACAATTTAGGAAGTTTTTTATTTTTTCCTTGATATTGGATGCAGTAATTTTAGTTGGATTTGTGGTAAAAGAAAAAGGATTATGACAAAGATGAACTGACATAAGGGAAAGAGATGCCTAAAAAAGTCTCGGTTTCAACTGGGTTTGAACTATGCTTTCCAGATACTACCTGGGTGCTAATATCAACTGAGCTACTAATGCCAAACCACAGATATTTTGGAAGCTCTCCTGTTAAAAAAACAAACAAACAAAACAAAGCAAAACAAACAAAAAAAGGAGAAAGGCTTCGACGTGGTTCGAACTCATTCGAAGCCCATCTTGGAAAGCCCCCATTGGAGAGGTGGTAAATCAAGTAAACATACAAACATTGTGAAAAAAAGTAGTGATGAAGTATTATGGTGGGCCTCATGACATGGTCATTTCCTACGAGGGTCCTACCATTTTGACTGCATACTGCAAGTCTTCTTCAGGCAATAAAGGTCGCATGGTTATTACGTTCCCATTGTGGAAAACTAGCTTTCAACATCAGTGTTCTCTTTTTCAGGCACTAACTTCTTAAATTTACCACTTGCAGTGCCTCTAAAAATTTTTGAAAATTCAAAAACAGGATCAAACTCGACCAGTTTGAAAATTTCTCTCACCTCTTGTGCTTAAAGTTGAGAAGAACACTACAACAGCTCTGCTATTTTAATGGTTGGTCACCAAAAGCTGTTCAGTACCTTTTTAAGCACTTACTTGAAGGGATTCTCAGTGCCGCTTTTCTGGATAGCACCCATAACAGTCATGCCAACCCTATAAGGCAGCGACACTGTTAACAGCGCCATGGAGAAGAAGGTCACAACATCTTGGAAGCGAATTTTTGTCCGAAGTGTGGAGTGGTTGGCTGGTTGGCCGGGGGGAAGGGGGGTAGGGGGTAGGGGGTAGGGGGTAGATTAGATACAAAATAAACGGCTGGTTAAGAATTAGCTTGCGTGGCCAATGCACAAAGTGAAGAAAAGGGCAAAGTTGATGTAAGGGCAAAGTGCGATCGGCAGGATTTCCCACCCAGATCTTGATATCTTAAAATACGTGCTGACGTAAATGCCGCCTTCCCACCCCACCCGCGTCGTGCGTGAGGCACGCAGTTTAGTAAATAATAAACAAAGTTCACTCGTGGTCGCATTTAACCAACAAATAGACTTCAAATATCGAGATGTGCTGTTTATAAACGTGCTTTTTCATATATAAAAAAGAAGACCTTCGTCTTCTTGAAGGCTTTGATACTTTTTTGTGTTGTTATATTTTAAGGTTACTTTTTAAGGTTACTTTATTCCACACAAGAATCTGTAATGTTCTTTATAGTTCTTTACTAAGCTCAGCCCAGCTACACTCCTAAAAAATTAACTCTTCTCTCTTATATTGTGTTTACTCATATACTTCATACTACTGTACATTATTGTACTGTGCTCTATTCTACGACTCTACCACTTCTACTCTGCTCTTTCTTCCTCCTCACTTCTTCTCTCTTAGCCTGTTCCATCCTCTCAATCAGCGAAGACACGCGAAAAATGGCGCGCGCGTTAACTTGCAGACAAGCGGACGTAATCTGCAGACGTCTCCCTTGTAACCGCAATTGCCGCGGCTCGCTTGCTTCAACACAGCGGTTCAACGTTTGTACATGTGTGCAGGTTATAATTAATAAGTGGAGTGCTGTCAGAAACGAGTTACACACAGCCTAACATACAAGTGAGTCGAGGTGTTTTGCTATCGTCTTTGTTTTTGTTAAGAATTGAAACGGAAAGGTCAATCAAAAGGATACCCGTACTTGAATAAGCTTCGTGTTCGAAAATTGTCGAGTTTTCTCTTTCCCTTCTTTTATTCCTTCTACATATAACGATGCACGTTTCAATTTTCTTTCGCTTATTTTTCGAGACAGGGGCTGTTTTTCATGTTTTTCATGTTTTTCTATGAAATTTTCCGCAGGAAAATGGTGACGGGCCTGCCAGAATTGATCCCCTCACGCACAACCGACGTTTGACCGCTGTGTTGTTTGCTTCCTGGTTTACCCCCCCCCCCCCACACACCTCTATTTCACGCATCTCCACTTCCTAAAGAGCCTAAAGCAAGCTAATTCTCTCCACTTTCTATCTTCAATCAGCCAACAATAGCTGCCATACTAACATGACTGACATCAGCCACCAACACATTAGCTTTCCAGGCGCTGCAGATTTAGGAAGGTTAGGGTAACAGTCAGGCTGTGGACAATCTCCCAAAGACTTTGATTCATCTTCTTTCTCGTCATCAGGAGACCTGCCTATTCAAAGATACTCTCTTGTGAATTTTGGATAGCAAGAGTTAAAGTGGACAAACTACACAGGGTATGAGGGGAGAGACGAGGAATGGTGGGAAGCGGAAGAGTTGGAATTAAGTGAATGGGTAAAGACACTCCTCAGAGTTCTCTCCCCAAGACGTGTTCCTACCATTGGACTAGGAGACAAAAACAAAATTTGCCATAACTTTGCCCAGAGAAAAAAACGAAATGCTTGTTTAAGATCACTGAAACTTTCAATTTATTGTGATATTTAAAATACCAACATTAGGGGAAGTGAAAAACACCCACGAATTAATGGAATTTTAAATGATTATAAGTTCCGTATTTCCTTGAATAAGCGCCTATCCCTTAGCATAAATTGAAGTAACCGAGCGAAAACGTTTTTCTATTGCCACTTTATCCAAAACCTTTTGAGCTTCAGCTCTCGAGTTTCTTTTCCGTTCCAGATATTTCAGTCTTCATGCGCTTGTAGAATTCCCTTATGTATTTTACCTGTGGTTTTGACTTTTCCGTCCTATCAGTGCGCTAACTCAACTAACGCCTACTCGGTAAGGCGCCCTCCTACCAATAAGCGCCCCTAACCCCCCCCCCCTTATGCCACAATTTTATGAGTGCTCGGGCGTTTGTTTGAGGAAATATGGTATTCACTTCTCCTAAATAAAGGGGGAGGGGGTGGGGGAGTGTACCTGCACCTTTAGACCCCTGCCAGCTACGCTCATGCAAAGTGTCCTGTTGCGCACCCAATCCCCCGCGGTGAAACAACAATTTTGCCAGCTGGTTTTACGAATCTATTTAACCAATTCAAAACGGACACCAAAATACAATGGAAAGCAAAATATCCATTCTCACCTTTTTCATCGACGTCTTGGTAATCATAACCGAACTCGAAAGACTTCTTGAACATCTGTTGGTGAGTGTAAACCGGAAACAACGGCACAATGACGTCATCTCTGTTGTGACCAATGGGTGCATCGTAAGTAGATAGCACATTCGCATCCTTCTTAAACTTCCGCAACCATTTTTCATAGATACGATCCACAAACGCGTGATGAAGAAGAAAGATCGGGTCGTTTGATGCTGAAGGTACGTCCCCCATTTCTCCTCCAACAACTATGTGGACCCGGTTGTGCAAGCCGTGGACGTTAGGAAGGCGAAAACCAGTTTTGGTGCTAACATAACCCTCTAGGATGTTTTTAAAATTGCAGCTAGACTCTTTGTTGTAGGGTGGGAAGTCGAAGGTTTCAAAACGGAGCGCAAAGTTAACTTCTGTTTTTGTTGGAAATGTCATAGTATATCCTTGTTCCTTCACTTTCTTCTCCTTCTCATCATCTGTGTCCCGTTTCAATCCAGCTCTTGTTATGTTAGGCTCACACGGCTTTTTTAGGTCATTGGTTTGTTCTCTGGTGCAAAGGACGTACCATTTATCCAAGTATTTGCCTCTCACGATGCCAGTAGTTTGGTTTGTTACACCAAGGAGCTCTTCAGAGCAAATTGTAGGGTCGCATTGAGTGGGATTCCCAGTCCAGTCCCAGAAAGGAAGGGCAAATTCTTCATCTCCTCCAATTTCCTGCAAGGCTCTCTCCCATGCCAACAAGTACAACCGATGCCATGAGGGAAATCCCTGACCATCGTGTGCGAATTCGATATCAGATTCAGTGACATCATGAGGTAAAATGGTGTCACTTGCCGCATAGTAATGCATCCACGTGAACAGGTCATAGTTAGTGACATTATAAAAGTAGGACTTTGGGTCGCCACCCTCCATAACGGTTTTGCTTATCTCCTTGTAAGGAGTAGACGTAACCACGAAGTCACTTACATAGTGCTTGGACATGTTAACGTATCTCATGAATCGATCTTTCTCCTCGGCTGTCAGGTTCAGAAAATTTCTTCGTATCAAATTTTTCTTCTGCGTGCAGTTCTTGCCATAGTAACCAAACGCGCATTTGCTGCAATCGTAACCTGCATAGTTTGCATTGCATATGCAGACTTTATTGTAAAGAGCACGCGGCCAGTTGTGTCTCTCGTCCTCCATCTGGAACGGTCGGTAATGGCTGTACTTGAATGTCCAATCACGAATGGTCAATTCCTGGCACTTTCCTCTGTCTCCATCGCAGCCACATAGTGTGGTGAAGCCTTTGGGGACAGGACAACATTTCTTGTCTCTCAGGCTGTCCCGGTCAGTACAGACTCTGGGAAACTGGCCTTCAACCCAGGGTAAAATGACGACGACAAAGACAAGGTATGCGATGCTGGGGTAACCCATTTTATGATCGACTCCCTGAGAGACAAAATTTAGGTCTTATTGTATCTGTCCTCCGAGCCTAGACGTTCAACAATTATGTGAATCATAGATATCTCTTTCTAATTTTAATAGTTCTAATAATGACAATGACAATGATGATAAGAATTATAATCATGATGATGATGATGATGATAATAGAAATCATCAAAAACTTTCAAATAGAGAGAAACTGGGTTTTTTTATGTGTTTGTTTTTGAAGAAGAGATGAAACTCAAACATGAAAACTGTTTTCTATAAACCTCACCGAGCCAGGAAAAAAGGTTGATTATTTTACACATTTTCTTTCGCATTTTATCTCACTAAAGTCCGAAGTTAATTGATCCATCTTGCAACGACTGTGTTTACAAATTTACAAGATCCTAAAAATGATTAAAAACTCTGGATTGATAGATTTTAGAATCTAAAAAGGGCCGGATGCCATCGAATCTTGAATAAATGTTTCTTTTTTATTCTTTTCATGTCACAAACGGTTGGATTATGCATCTCGAAAAATTTCACCTGTACTCTCGATTATTCTGGTTATTTAATTATTTATGCTGTAAGGTTACTCCTCGCATGAAAATCCTTATAACAAAGAGCCGTAATTTCGCTTTATCTCAAGAACTTAGCAATCATAACCAGCTTAATTTTCTTGTTTGTGATTTTAAAGGCAACAACTGTTCAGATCCAAAATCTCTGGTTTAATTCCTTTCAAGTGATCGAGATCCAGATTCCCGGAAACTTATCTTCCAGTTCACACTAGGCAATTATTATTCAAATTCTGGGAATTAGTCATGCAGCATATGCAAACTACCCAACAAATGAGCTTAAGATGATATGAATTTTCTTAATGTCATACGGGTTATCACTGTATGCTCTTTGTTGTCTCTCTGACCTAGTTTGGCAACGAATCCATCACCGAAAATATTGACCAAAAGGTTTAAACTTCCAAATCCATTGCTGCTCGCTTGAGAAACTGATTTTCTTCACAACGTTATTGGAAATAAGCGGCTTTTCTGGCGCAAAATATCTGCGACTTGAATCAATGGAAGAGTTCATCATATCACAAAACCACATAATTGACGGCGATGCAACTGGATCATGTAATTTCATAGAATAGTTCAACTTTCCCAGAAAGCATTCCGTAAGCAAGTCTTACTTGTAAGTATAATTTTCGGCCCAAAATCAAACTTTATTGCAAGAGACCGTTTCGCTACTTTTTAACAAAAACCTCCTTCGATTTTAGTCAGCCTGAATTCCCTCTTTAGAAGCAACTCTCGAAGTCAATCCGCGATCGGCCTACAACAAAAACATGCGCATTTCTGGTAAGGACTTTGACGAACTGAACATAGTTTGATCATCGGGTGTTTGAGACATGTGCATCGAGTACAGTCCGCATTCTGTTTCTCGTATAATTATCGTCTAAAATGTACCTTGGACATTGTTACCACAAGAGCAGTATATAAATCCTTTGTAGCGATCATGTTGTGAGCGCCTCTTGATTAAGATTGGAGCTTCGAGGTAAGACTACGTGTCTTCCTTGAGAACGAGTTTGATTAAAGCATACCTTCGTCTTCTTTAAAACTGCAAGCTTCTTTGTTCCTAAGATTTGAAATTTCTCCTCTTAAAGTTTGTTCCTGTACGTCACGGTGCTATTGACAAGCCGACTGAACAGTAAAACTAAATTACAATGAAACTATATCTCATCTATTTTGATGGATTCTTAGAAAAGGTTTCCTCAGAATGAGAGTACAGCGTACCTTTGTACTCAAGATTTCTTAGAACTCTAAGCGTCGTTACTAGACTTAAGACTCTCCTTGTAAAATATACCTTCGGTAGACGCTGCCGAATTTTTCTTCTCTAAGAAGCCTGCTATAGTGCCGTCAGCTTTGCATGCGTCGGCGATTTGTACACAATGTGTTTTGTCTGGACCTCTGAATCGCTTCCAAGAATTCAGCAAACATAATCAACGAACTACATTATTTCATTCTACAAATTTCAAGTCAAGGCATGAAATAACATCCTAGCGAGCATAAGATAGAGATCACTAAATTTATTTCAGAATTAATCGACATGATACAGCAGATGCGAAGTATAAAGTCTGTACACGGTTTTCACTCATTCATCGAACATAAATAATATACCTTTCCGGGTATGCGCTAATCTTGTCAGCACTGCTGTATGGATATAAAATCAGTCTGTGTCATTCAGGTGTTTGTTGCTTGCAAGTTTTACAAAACTGTAACATGGTGAATTGTATCGTTCATTGGAAATCTCTCCGAATTTCTCCTATCTACCAAGAAGAAGGGAACTTAGCAACATACATAATCTGCGGCGCGGAACTTCCCTCGCCAATGTAAAATCTTTGCTCGCTTCAAACATGGAAGTAACACGGCAATCATTAAAGAAACATGATCAAAGTGTACCTGATCGACTAGCTTGTCAACTATGCACTCTTAATGCTTCCGTTTCTTAGGACTGAAACTTTAAGTATCCTTTCCTGAACGCTTCTTAAAACAAGTAACGCGCTAATGCCACAGAATGCTGGAATATATCGCGTGACTTAAGTTTACCCAATGTGTGGTTGGCGGGGGGGGGGTAGATTAGATACAAAATAAACGACTTGTGAAGAATTAGCTTGCGTGGCCGATGCACAAAGGGAAGAGAAAGGGCAAAGTTGATGTAAAAGCAAAGTGTGATCGCCAAGATTTCCACCCTGATCCTGATCTTAAAATACGCACTAGCGTAAATGCTGCCTTCCCACCCCTCCCCCGTCGTGCATAAGGCATGAAGGTAAGTAAATGATGGACAAAGTTCACTCGTGGTCGCATTTAACCAACAGATAGACTCAAAATATCGAGATGTGCTGCTTATAAACGTGCTTTTTCATATAGAAAAAAAGAAGACCTTTGTCTTCTTGAAGGCTTCGATGCTTTTTTGTGTTGTTATATTTTAAGGTTACTTTATTCCACATAAAAATCACACGCTTCTGTAATGTTCTTAATACTTCTTTACTAAGCTCCGCAAAGCTGCACTCCTAAAAATTTAACTCGTCTCTCTTATATTAGGTGTACTCAGTTATTCCTTTTAATCTTTCCAGACTTAAGTCCAATGTAATATATACTACTGTACATTATCGTACTGTGCTCTATTCTACGACTCTACCACTTCTACTCTTCTCTTCCTTCCTCCTCACTCCCTCTCTCTTAGCCTGTTCCAGCCTCTCATCAGCGAAGACGAGCGAAAAAGCGAATACGCGAAAAGTGGCGCGCGCGTTAACTTGTAAGCAAGCGGGCGTAATCTGCAGACGTCTCCCTAGTAACCGCAACCGCCGCGGCCCGCTTGCTTCAACACAGCGGTCCAACGTCTTCGCATGTTCACAGGTTGTAATTACTACGTGAAGTGCTGTCAGAAATGAGTTATACACAGTCTCACATGCAAGTGAGTCGAGGTGTTTTGCAACCGTAATCAACAAGATACCCGTACTTGAATAAGTTTCGCGTTCGAAAATTGTCGAGTTTTCGTTTTCCCTACTTTTATTCCTTCTACAGATAAAGATGTACGTTTCAATTCTCTTTCGCTTATTTTTCAAGACAGGAGCTGTTTTTCATGTTTTCCTATGAAATTTTGCGCAGGAAAATGGCGCGCGGCCTGCCAGAATTAGTTCCCCTCGCGCGCACCCGACGTTTGACCGCTGTGTTGCCTGCTTCCCGCTTTTCCCACACCCACTATTTCACGCATCTCCACTTACTAAAAGCCTAAGGCAGGCTAATTATCTCCACTCCCTGTCTTCAATCAGCCAACAGTAGCTGCCATAGTAACATGACTGACATCAGCCACCAACACATTAGCTTTCCAGGCGCTGCAGATATAGTTGGACAATCTTGCAAAGACTTTGATTCACCATCTTTCTCGTCATCAGGAGACCTGCCTATTCAAAGATACTTTCTTGTGAATTTTGGATAGCAACAGTTATAGTGGACAAACTACACAGGGTATGAGAGGAGAGACGAGGAATGGTGGGAAGCGGAAGAGTTGGAATTAAGTGAATGGGTAAAGACACTCCTCAGAGTTTTCTCTCCAAGTGTTCCTACCATCGGTCTGGAAGGCAAGAAAATAAATTTGCCATAACTTTTCCCAGAGGAAAAAATGAAATGCTTGTTTAAGATCACTAAAACTTTCAATTTATTTTGACATTTAAAATACCAACATTGGGGGAAATGGAAAACACTCACGAATTAATGCAATTTTAAAGGATTATAAGTACCGTATTTCCACGAATAAGCGCCAACCCCTTAGGCCATAAATTGAAGTAACTGTCATCCCCCCTTCCTCACTTTCTTAAAAAGTGGGGATGCAAGGAAAACCTATATCTATTGCCACTAAATCTATAACTTTTTGAGCTTCAGTTCTCGAGTTTCTTTTCCGTTCCAGATATTTCCGTCTTCATGCACTTGTAGAATTCCTTCATGTGTTTTACCTGTTCTTTTGATTTTTTTTGTCCTATCAGTGCGCTAACTTAATAAGCGCCTTTTAGCCGAAATTTTACGAGCGCCTCTATTTGACCAATTCAAAACACGGACATTGCCTGAAAAACATTGGGCAGGCAGAGGAGTTCTGGCTCTGATAATTAACTAGTCTCATGAGAGTCAACCAAAACTACAATGGAAAGCAAAATGTTCATTCTCACCTTCTTCATCTACGTCATGGTAATCATAACCGAACTCGAAAGACTTCTTGAACATCTGTTGGTGAGTGTAAACCGGAAACAACGGCACAATGACGTCATCTCTGTTGTGACCAATTGGTGCATCGTAAGTGGATAGCACATTCGCACTCTTATTAAACTTCCGCAACCACTTTTCATAGATACGATCCACAAACGCGTGATGAAGAGGAAAGATCGGGTCGTTTGATGCTGAAGGTACGTCCCCCATTTCTCCTCCAACAACTATATGGATCCGGTTGTGCAAGACGTGGACGTCAGAATGGTGACGACCAGTTTCGGTGCTGGCATAACCCTCTAGGATGTTTCTAAAACTACAGCTGGAACTTTTGTTGTAGGGTGGACGGTCAAAGGTTTCAAAACGGAGCGCGAAGTTGACTTCTGTTTTTTTTGGAAATGTCATATCATATCCTTGTTCCTTCTCTTTCTTCTCCTTCTCATCATCTGTGTTCCGTTTCAAGCCATTTCTTTTGTCGGTAGGGTCGCACGACTTTGTTAAATTATCGGTTTGTTCGCGGGTGCAAAGGACGTACCAATCATTCAAGTATTTGCCCCTCACAATGCCAGTAGTTTGGTCCGTTACGCCAAGCAGCTCTTCAGAGCAAATTGCGGGGTCGCATCGAGTGGGATTCTCAGTCCAGTCCCAGAAAGGAAGGGCAAATTCTTCATCGTTTCCAACTTCCTGCAAGGTTCTCTCCCATGCCAGCAAGTACAACCGATGCCATGAGAGAAATCCCTGACCATCGTGTGCAAAGTCAATATCAGATTCAGTCTTATTAAAATGGTGGTAAAATGGTGTCACGTGCAGCATAGTAATGCATCCACGTGAACAGGTCATAGCTAGTGACATCAGAAAAGAAGTGCGATGGGTCCCCACCGTGCATAACGGTTCTGTATATCTCCTCGTAAGAAGTAGACGTAACCACGAAGTCACTTCGATATTCCTTGGATTTTTTGACGTATCGTATGTATCGTTCTTTCTCCCAGGCTGTCAGGCTGAGAAAATTTCTTCGTATCAAATTTTTCTTCTGCGTGCAGGTACTGCCATAGTAACCAAACGCGCATTTGCTGCAATCGTAACCTGCAAAGTTTGCGTTGCATTTGCAGACTTGGTAGTAAAGTGCACGCGGCCAGTTGTGTCTCTCGTCCTCCATCTGGAACGGTCGGTAATGGCTGTACTTAGATGTCCAATCACGAATGGTCAATGCCTGGCACTGTCCTCTGCCTCCATCGTAACCACATTGTGTGGTGAAGCCACTAGGAGTAGGACAACATGTCTTGTCTCTCAGACTGTCCCGGTCAGTACAGACTCTGGGAAACTGGCCTTCAACCCTGGGTAAGGTGACAACAACCAAGACAAGGTATGCGATGATGGGGTAATCCATTTTATGATCGCCTCCAGCTCCCTGAAAGATAAAATTTAGGTCTTATTGTTACCTGTCCTCCGAGTGTAAACGTTCAACAATTATGTGAATCATAGATATATCTGTCTAATTTTAATAGTTCTAATAATAGTAATGATAATAATGATAAGAATTATAATAATGATGATGATGATGATGATAATAGAAATCATGAAAACTTTCAAATAGAGAGAAACTGGGTTTTTTATGTGTTTGTTTTTGAAGAAAAGATGAAACTCAAACATGAAAATTTGTTTTCTATAAACCTCACTGAGCCGGAAAAATGGTTGATTATTATACACATTTTCTTTCGTATTTTATCTCACTAAAGGCCGAAGTTGATTGATCCATCTTGCAATGACTGTGTTTACAAATTTTAGGGCTACAAGCTCCGTGTGTCATTCGTCCATTCAATTTTTGTTTAAAATCAAAAATTGAAAATTGATGTCAAATTTTGGATTTTTTTCAATTTTGTTATAAGAAAAAATATGAAAGTGCCAAATCGAAAATATTTGACATTTTTTCCTTTTGGTAGAATATTGAAACATAACGCATGTTTTTACTTGAATCCTGTCAACAATGATGA